TTTTCTATATAAATAATCATTAGACAAATATATAGTTTAACGTCTAGGCGTTTAGTCGATCAGATAAAGTTCAATTCAATTAACTCCCCTTTCAAATCTCAGTTCACAACCAAACCAAGTTTTAAGTAATCGGATTGGGTTCAGGAGTTAGGACTGCGGTGAATCAAAACAAGTGAGTGATAAAAAAATACTAAAAAAAAAAATCATCAGTTCCGGCGTTCCGCATAGCTTTACTTTTTTGCTCTCACTTCCGGTTCCGGTTTTTAATCATTTATGTTCAGTCAGTTCAGTTTCAGTTCGTTTGTTGTTGTCTGACTGAACCCTGAACTAGAATAAATTCAAGACAAGATTGGTAAAGCATAAATAAAGCGTTGGTGTTATTGCATTAACCTACATTTAACTTAAGTTTGTGTATCTTTTTGGAGTGTTTGATTTTTATTTCCAATTAGGCCTATTATTGGTACCGCTACACGATTGCTGAAAGCAATTCATTGATAAACTTGCAGGTAATATTATCACTTACTTGTTACAAACTAGGTCTAACCGTGTTTTTGGAATATCGCATTTTAGGTTTTATCACAACAGATACCCTAGGGTTAAGGTGATAAGCCTAATTAAATCAGACTGATAAGGCCTACATGCAGCAACATGCTGTTGTGCAATTCTTCAGAAGTGATAAGGGACAAACATTTAAGTTAAATTTAGACGGCCTACCCAGGATGTAAAAAGAATCTCACCATTAAATTTTTATGATTACAATTAGACTTGGACACCTTATGGTAGGCCTAAGACTAACTACTTATTTACACTTGAACATTATCTTATTTTAAAGTAAAATAATAGGCTATGGTAGGTTGGTCATATGTTACATAAGTTAACTTAAGTTAAAGGCTAAGTTAACAGACTTATTTTTATTGGAAACTAGCTGTACCCGCGGGCTTTGCCCCGTTTTACTTCATAAGTGAGCGTGAGCTAGTTCGCATGGCTCAATCACGTCCTGGTTGAAGTTCGTTCGCTACGCTCACTCTGGAGCTCATTCGCTGCGCTCACTTGCCTTCAAGTTAGCCCGTTCGCTACGCTAACTCGCCTCCAGGTTGAAGTTTGTTCGCTACGCTCACTCAGCTGTACCCGCGGGCTTTGCCCCGTTTTACTTCATAAGTGAGCTCGTTCGCATGGCTCAATCACGTCCTGGTTGAAGTTCGTTTGCTACGCTCACTCACCTTTAAGTTGGAGCTCGTTAGCTGCGCTCACTTGCCTTCAGGTTAGGTCGTTCGCTACGCTAACTCGCCTCCAGGGTGAAATTCCGTTAGCTACGCTCCCTCACCTTTTGGTTGCAAATTAGCTGCTGTCATAAATTGAAAAAAAATAATAGTGCTGCACCCTGTTGGTAATCCTTGTAAGTTTTTAACCCTCCGAGTGTTATTTGTCGCTGCAGCGACTCACAAACACTGTTTACGGCGAAGGCTCTATGACTGACAAAATCGGATTGAACTGGATCGAGTTAGGTATCGTTTTATTTTACAGATTCAGAGCTTTCTCCGGAGGTCTGTCTCTAAGCGCTATTCATTTTAGTTCCGAAAATATTGTAGCAGGCAGCTGACGTGCGTATTTGTAAACAGCTTGGTTATCCTCGGACCGATGACTGATGTGTTTTATTACGTTTATCATTGTTTTAGTGTTAAAAATCAAAAGTAGTGATAAGTTATACGTGGTGCATTACAAGAAGATTTTAAGTGATTTTGAAGGGCTGGTTGATGATCCTGAAGAAGTAGGTACCGGTAGTGATATTGATGTAAATTATCAGCCAGATTCCTAGCTATGGTTAGGCTATGCATTCTTAGCTAAACGCTATGTACTGAAATCTGTTTTTTGCCCATAACTTATTTATTTGCAGATCTACTTCCTTATATTATTATATATTTGTAATCCTCATAAAATTTAGAACAAAGTGGCTATTTTCAAATATTTATAGGCCTATAATTTATACAATTTCATTGAGCGGGAACTTATTTTTTTTTGGAAATTTTCCAAAATATTTTTTTTACCTAAAAAATTTTTTGGAAACAAATGTTCCTTATGTTCTATGTATAATATTGAAGCCCATGATTTTCCAAACAAAATGGTATATAGAAAAGTATAATTAACATTGTTTTCAAGCTTCTCAGATCCGTTTTTATAAAACCTTGCAAATGAGCAAAAAATAGGCAGACATTAAGGCCAAAACAAGGGACACTCGGAGGGTTAATGCTTTTGCATATCATAGAACCAACTTTTTAGTTGAAACAGCTGACTAAATTCTTTAATTCCCTTTTAATATGAATACTCATAAGGTTAACATGGGGAACTATAGAGCCACTGGGGCGGAGCCCGAAAGGATTTTTGAGATAAGAATATGCCTATATGTTAATCGGGAATGTGAGCTATCATCATGCCAAATTTCAGCAAAATCCGTCCAGTGGTTAATGCGTTTACTTGTCACAAACATACATCCATACATCCAAACTTTCTCATTTATAATATTAGTAGGATTAGCCTAGGCTTCATTATAATCGTAAGGACTAAGTTAAGTTAGATACTAAGTTAGCTGACTTTGGGCCTACCCCATTGATTTTTAAAGTTACCGTCAGCTGTGCTGTGGTTACCATAGGTTCTGGCGCACACCGCTGGAAGCACCGTGTATAGTTACGTCATATATATATAACTTGGCTAGGCCTAACCTATTTTTAAACGTACTTAATTTAGTAGCCTAAATGAGATACATTTCTCTGGGTACGTTAGGTGTAAGTTGGCTCTGGAGAGTGGGAATTTTTGACAGGACTTTTCTCCCTAATCTTTGCATTTCACCTATTTTTAGGGAAGGCCTTAGACATGCCAGACCTTGTAACTTACACCCTCTATTTTTGGGGCGAGGAATTCAATTGAACCATCACCGTACCTCTATAGACCCCCTTATTTTAGTTTTAAGGGGGGGGGGGGAAATGCCCCCCTAACTTAATAAAATTTGGAATGTAAAATTGGCCCCAAAAATAGGGGGTGTACGAGGTTTGGAATGTTTTACCCCAAAAATGGTAAGTAGGAAATAGGAAATAACCAGAATTAGGGAGAAAGTCCCTGTCAAAAATGCCCACCCCCTGGAGCCAAACAGCTACGGTACCGGATTCTGTTAGACTTAACTTGAAGTTAGGCTAGCCTACATGCTAAGTATAGGCCTAATGGGCTTCTAACATTATAAAAATTGTAAGGGTTCAACCGGAACAAACTCTGGTAAAGTGAAACTGTATGCCTGAACAAAAGCAGCCCAGTTAGGCCCTTCATGTAGGCCTAACCAAGACCACTGAATGTTTTGCATTAATTTTGACTTTGGACTAGGGGCTATTTTAACAAGTTAGGCTAGTATTTTTTTTTTTTTTTTTTTTTTTTGCAGCCTAAGCTAGTTTGATCTAAGTACTCCCTTCAATGAGCAATAGGTTCTACCAATGAGCCAGGAATGAATTTTGGCCTTGAGACTGTTGTTATCCAGGCATTTTATTCCAGCTGGCAGCCTATTGAACATCTTGAGGTCGATCAGCTTTGAGGGCACGATGAAAGACATTAACTTAACTACTACCGAAAAGGTCTTAGTCACTAAGAATTGACGATAAGATCGCGCCAATTATCCCACACTCTATCTCCATTCATACTTGGCTTAAAATGCCTACTTTGTATTATTGCCATTTCATTGAAAAGTATTAAAGGGGGTAGGCAAGGCTATCACATCTGCAATTTATTGAGCACAATTACATTTAATACCATAGACATCTGGGCTAAGTGAGTTCTTAAAAGATTTGATGACCGTCATTAGATGAGATAACATGTCTCCATTTGGTGAACCAATTGTTTGCATTAAATGCTTCCCCAAAGTTCAGATAGTAATTACTATCAACTAATGGTGTAGAATTAACAATCCGATCCACTTCTCCGAAAATGAACTGCTTGAAGACATCTGGACTGGACTCACTGGTCACTTCATAATTGTGCGGGCCTTACTAGTCCTAATTACAATGTCCCAAGCTGCCTTACATTTGTTTGGAGCCTGTTGGATTCGTTTAGTATTAGCCTGCCTTTTTGTATGATCATATTGCTGCCTATTAAATTCTCTGCTCTCGCAGAGTACAATATCTTATTACGTCCACAGCAGACTTGTGTACCCTTCATGCAAAGTCACAACAGATTTCCTTGTATTGTAGGCCTATGGTAAATACTTACAGGATATGTTACGAGATTTTGGCATTTAATAAATACCAAAGCCCCCAGCTATGTTTTTCAGTTTTAGCTAAATTCCCATGGGGGGATAGCTAGTTTTTGATAGGCCCCCCCCCCTATTATAGGTCTCATGGTAAGACCAATACCCGGGACCGATTAACTTTTTGGTTTTGATGTAGGCCTATCCAGGTCGCCGGTTCGATCCTGAGAAAAGTCAGTAGCTTTTTGATGGCTCGAAACTGGACCCAGCTGTTCCTGATCATTGGGCTTTATAAATAAATGATCCTGACTAATGAAACCGCTCATCTTCGTCAGTAACAAAGCTACACGGGTCATCACACACCATTCTACACTCATCCTTCACTCATATTTGGGTTAAAATACGCACCTAGGTGGTGTCCCCATCTCAATAATTGATAATTGGCCATAAATACCAACCGTTCAAATCCATATAGGCTACAGTATATACAAGGAAAATCTACGTTTATGGACAAAGCTTTTAAATGCTTTTATGTCACAAAGATTCATGTGAGAGGTTGGCTGCTGACAAACAATTTGGGATTTAGCCTAATTTCACAGGTTCACCTAGTCATAATCAGACCTGGACTGGTCAGAACGCCAGCATAAAAGTTGATGTCTTGTTAGAAGTTATTCTGCGTTTGTGAAAGGCTGTCTTAACTGGTATTTTATCTAAGTAGCCTAACTTATGTTTGGCCTATTAATTTTACAGTATTCTAATTATTGTTGTGTTCTCTCAGACATGTGCAACGAGGCTCATATCAGCAATACTCTAATGGGTATGTTCAAAATAATTCATGCGTAAAAAGTGTTGCAACTTTTGCTTGTACAGTTCACTCCCGATTATTCGAGCCTCGGTTATAATCCCCTGAGGTTCTTATGCCTTGTCATAGGGCACTCTTGTTATCTGAGGTCGTTATAGACCTAAATAAGTTATATATCTTTAATTTTTAGTCGGAAACAATAATTAATTACTTTATTATGGTAGATTCCAATCTAAACAATCTCTGTGTTATCAGAGATCTTGGTAAATGAGGTAGTCTCTGTCTCAACAACCTCGGTTAATTGGGAGTGTTCTGTTCTGTGAGTGTTCAGAGCTTTTTATTTCTTCTCAGCACCATTTTTTTTTTATTTATTATTAATGCGTAAAGTTATTTACTGTTTTGCTTTAATGGCTGTTGTATAGTCTGTTAATAGCTAGTTATATTTCCTATCGTACACAAAAGCACCACTGTCACACGCTTGGTTAGTTTATCTAGTGATGCAGCTTTGTAATGTAAGAAAAGCAATTTCACATGTTGCATGGTATCCGTCACAAATTACATCACTAAAAATACATTGCATAACTAAACTAATACCCATTACATGAATGACTAATAATTATCATAAAATCAATGATTAAATGGATCCAGAAACCCAGAGCAGCCAAACACGCTTCCTGTTCACTGGTATTAAGGAACTCGCCCACAATGTAAATTTTGTTGACAGGGCTGTATTTAGCACTTTGGCGTCTGTAGGCCTAAACATCTGCCCCTTAGTCTGGCTTAGGTTACTTAAGGCTGCTCGGGATTTCTTTTGAGCCAACCTGTACAGTTCTCTGCCCTGAGTGTTGTCCTGGCATGGGTTGAGGCTGCATTTAAGTTTGGAAAACTTAACTACTTTCAGGAGATACAGGCAAGGGTAAGTAGACCCAACACCCTGAAGGTGGCACTACAAGACTCATCCGCTCATTGCTTCAAGACGGAACACCCCTTGGAAGTCCATTTTTGCATATTCACCCCCACATACCATGGGTTTTATTTTAACTGTACATCTTGTATTGTGGATTAGGCCCCCTAACTATTTATTTTATTATAAATAATTCTTACAACAAATTTTAGTTGGATAGAGTCAAGTGATTTCTGAATAAACCAGATCCAACCTAAATTAACTTCACAAAATATTAAATATCAAAATCAAGCAGGACTGACCTACTCTTAGTTCTTATTGACATTGTGTAGGCCTAAGTGTAATGCTGGTGCAGAAAAAATGTAAACACTCAAATTACTGCAAACAAGAACTACCTAAAGTTTTACGAGTAAGTAAGTTTTACAGTTGTGCTCCATGTAGGCTGCATGTGTTGTCTTTGGTTCCACTATTATTGTTATATATTATTACCTATAAGTTGTCATATGGCTTGATTTATGTTTTAACCATCTCACCCACTCCAACCTTGTTTATTTACAACTGGAACACATTTTATTAGCCAATCACCCCCCTCTCCAAAACTTCTCTACCCCACCAAACAGTTTTTGTTTTTTTTTTTCTTTCTTGTTGGTTCTTCTACCAAAATTGAACATTTTTATTGAAACTGGATTTTAATGTGTTAACTTTGTAAAAACATTTAGTTTAGTAATTCTAGTAAGGTGCCTATAAGTAGCTGTCAATAATTTTTGTTATTTAGAGACCAGGATACTGACGCACCTAAATCAAGGTTCGGAGAGATGAACAGGAACGACAGCGGGAGCGGGTTTGGCAGGAGACCCAACAACTTCAACCAGCAGAGACCAGACCGCAGAAATGATGGCGGCGGAGACGGAGGTTTTGCTGGTGCGAGTAGGCCTTCAGCTAGAAGACCTCCTAAACTGGTACCATGTAAGGACATCTTTTTTTGGTGTATGGTACCATAGTAGACTAACAAACACAAGTAGACTTCTCATCCCAATGTAAATTTTGAAGCTTGTTTTTCGTGTCTAGTTCATGTACGGTGGGTGACATTAGGCGCTAGTGTCGACGAAATTCTGTTTCTAGTATTTTAAGGTTGATTTCATGATAGAGCTTTAATGTTTGGTGATATAACTAGGGGACAAATTATTTTTTAAGATTAGATTTAATGACTGAAATAACAACAAATTGTAAACAAAACTCAACCTCTACAGTGCACCGTACAGAACTAACAATAAAATTGGCTTCAGCTGTTCCATAAGGATGAGAAATCTACTAAGGGAGTATGTTTTATCTTTTATCTTTGGCGGTACTGATATTAGATGTTAGAAATCATTATCTGCTACCGATAAATAAACAATTAATATATTTTGTAAAATTCTAATTCTGTTTTAAATACTCCCTGGTGTGGATTAAAGTTTGCACTAGTGAGTACTACTATCCGTAGTACTATCCTGCTAATTAGACCTATGTGTTAATATCAAGGTGAAAATGGGCTATTAATTAACAGCTGTGTCTAAGGAATAAGTTGGCCTTAGTCACTAACAAGGCTACAAAATTGTGCCACTCATCCTATACTCATCTCCATTCATCCTTGGCTTGAAATACCTACTTTGTATGGTCGCAATTTCATTGAAAAGTATAAAAATACTCACGAACGTGTTTCAGTCCCAGCACCACAGCCTGCTGAAAATGCTCCTCCCACATCAGCGAAGGTAGCAGTAATCGGGAACCATCACCCTAAGTTCGGTCAGAACAACATCTATGATCTTTGCAAGTTGGCGAAAGTTAACCCGCTACATGTAGCCATGAAAAACTATGATAGGCCACCGTACCCAAAGCTGTGAGTATAAGTCGCTAAACAAATTATGATTGAGAATATTTCAGTTTGTACTGCATCTTATAACTGGTTAAAATTTAAGTTTTTCAACGTACATTAGAACATGGCTGGTTTTTATACAGTACTAGTGCACCTGTTGCTCTATTTCGAGCAACTGCATTGTATTAGGCATACAGCATTATTTCAATACGAATAACGGTCATAATTTCCGATGACTTAAAAGAGACAACTCAAAGATAATGTATCAATCACTCCACTCCAGTTATCAAATATGAAAACGAACACTCTTGTGTTTATCATGTGTTTACTATGAACAGCTGTTTTAGTATGCAATTAATACAAATTATTTGTCTGTTTATGTAAACAGAATATTTTCTTTATAAAAAATACATTGAGATTTTGGTGACCTGTGGGGCAAAGCCCGAGGACTTTTATTACAGGAATTGGTGAAAGGGGGCGTCTACACAAAAAATACTTAATTTTGACTCATTGTTTGTAAAGATCCGTCCAATATTAATGGAGGAGTAGTGTTTTGTAGAAATTACCTTCACGTATTATATATATAAGGATAACCTCAATAACAAGTCCCTCGTGGGAGCCTCATTAGTAAATGGGCCAAATGTTTAAGATTTGTTAGGAGTGCAAGGAAGATGAAAATCCCTCACAAGTAAGCGGAAGAGGGCACAAATCTCTAAATATAAATAAATATCTAAATATATAACCAAATATAATTTTATTTGTCATGAGTGCATTGCAAACATTTGTTGCAGGCATTTCGCTGTGGTGTACGTAAGGAACCAAGAAGAGGTCGATAACATAGTCAGCTCACTAAAAGGCTTACAACTGAATGGTTATACGCTGATTGTGGGATCAGCAGACGAGTTGTTGGAAGAAGGAAAATTGTTAAAACGAAGTAATTAAGTCATAAGTACAAAAAAACTGATGGTGTTTTCCCAGTTTTCGGTTTTCGTAAATACCAAACAGGGTTCCTAATCAAACAAAGTGATTGTTTCAAAGTATGATGTTTCAAATTAGAATATACACCTTGATTTGAAAATGCATTTGTTAAAATCAGATTCCTTTGCAAAAATATGTAGGTATTAGTGATGGTCGAAAACCAGAAATCTCGAATCTCAAAACGTAAACGCAAAACTTGTTTGCTTAGCTTTTACAAAAGCCGAAGTTACAAAAAATACAGGTAATCATTAAATTTACAGGCAATAACTAAATTTTAATTATGTAATCAAAACTGAAAGAGATTGACTCCTTACCCTGACATAATAACATATAAATGTGACTGATAAACTTGCAACCCAAAACAACATATTTTTTAAAAAACAACCAACATACAAATAAATTAAAATCCTGACACCAACATAAACATGCAAATTAAATCAATTAAAACATTTAGTGGTCAATATTTCTTTGTGTTTCTGTCTAGTTAATATTGTTATGAAACTGAATTGTATGTCATTCCAGTTATAGTATTTAAAATGCCTTTTGAAGTTCAGAATATAATTAACTTGTTTCATTACTGTGGTGATCTGTTTGCTCTATTGCTACCATCTTGCGTGAAAATACTGCCAAAATCCTCAATTTCAAAACTTTTGATTGAATCTCGAAACTGAAACTTTTCCAAAGTTTTTATGGTTTTGAGATTTGAGATTCGGTTTTGACACATCACTTAGTAGGTATTCTGCTTTCACAACTTGCCTACTTCAATGATTGTACAAGTGTTCTCTCGTTGTTTGTTATTACTTATTGTAAGATAATTTAGTGTTATTTTTAAGAACTGAGTAATATTAGCCCTTATTGCAGTATTTTTAGGTTTCTACCTCTATAAAAGTAAGGTATATTTGATTTATTTGACTAAACTCTGTTAAACTACAAAGTTAACAAACTCTTTTTAAGTAAAATTACTTCTTGTATATCTTAAATTTTCATTTCATATGGTCATTTAAATATTAAACTGTATTAGTGATGAAAGAAACCATCGATTTAAGTTACAGGTGCAGTTTTGAATTTTTATAGAATAGTGAAAATAGATTAAACTGTTTTTTGCCGTTTAAGAAAAAACATTATCTATGGATGATATAAGCTACAGGTGCTGATGTGTGTTTTATAACAGTGTTAAACTTTTCCCTGTTAAATATAAAATTTTCTACGTTTATTTACTCTTGTGTTTCAATGTTTCCCTCCTTTTAATTTTTTTTTGTTCAAAATTTGATTACCAAGTAAAAAAAATCATAATATTCACCAAAAATAGTTAGACGACAAAAATATTCACCTCATTAGTTGGAGGACGGTTATCAGTTTCATCTAAACAGAAATGGGTGACACTACACAGTTGGTATACAAAGCTGCATAAAACATTTCACTTCATTCTACACCCACCCTTCAATCGTGTTCAGGTTTAACACGCTCAGTTGCGCTTCCATCCCCTCATCTCAATTTGAAAACAAACCTTAAACACAAAATAAATATCACAAAGTCAATTTGATTAGCAATTTTTTTTATTTATAATGGTTAAAGTACCTGCATTCAGTAATCCAAACTGCTGCTTGTGGCAACTAGTTTCGGTTCAGGTAGGAACCATCTTCAGGCCCTACAAGGTGTCGTTCAGGTTATTTAACTCTGTATATGAAAGTCGTCATTGATAATAAAAGTACATAAAAAACACACTAACCCCCACATTGATAGACAAACGTTTCACATTGAAAAACAACTGAGTACTCAGGGACAATTTCCTGCATTTTACTGTCTAAGGTCGGCACCACACTATCCCGTATGGCACGGGATGTGTTTTTACCGCATTGACTTTACCTTGTCACACCATCCTGCTCTACCGCAATATACTTCGAGCAGCAATTAGTGGATCCCGTCGACACACTACAACTGCAACAATGTGACCGCTCCCTAAAAACCAATGCGTTTGAATCATCCCGCCAAACGGGTGCCGTTTAACCGGACCGGCGAAATGGGATAGTGTGGCGCCGGCCTAAAACTTTGTGATTGTTTATTTGGCCATTATTTTTTTCAATTTCTAATTTGATATAATACATCTGTAACTAGGCCTTTTGATGAAACTAGACATTCCATCCCCATGTTAAAGTTGTCACCAGTTGATCTAAATGGACATAGTGCAGTGAGCCAACGATGGATTGCACTTGTTAGAACTTGTGTGAGATTATAAGAACTTTTATGATATTATATATATATATATTATAACTAAAAAAAATTATTCTGATACATTAAGAAATATTTAAAGATTTCTCCTTAGCAAAATTGTTGTGTTCCTTCTAACTTAAAATCCTTACTACTACTCGCTCTTCTCATTGTTTTAAATAAATTAAAAATATAAAACACCTGTTAATAAAAAACAAAAACTAACAAATTAAAATTATGATATCTGGTGTTGATAAATCTTGAATGAGTGCTATAGAAACAAATGAATTTCCAACAGTGCTATTGAAAATTACTGATTTTTTTATCATAGTTGAAATGATAAGATGACTAGGCCTACTTATTGAGTTAAAATTATAGAATCCTTTATGTTGGGCCAACTTTATCATTAACAAAAAATAATGTATTAGTGAATTTTTAACTCTGGTGCAATCTGTGACCCGCTCACAAAACTAAGTATTATTTTTTGATAAAAAAAAACACTGTGACAGCTTGGATGTATAATTCAATATCCTAGAGTCAATGAATAAAATAAATGTGTAATAATAATCATAACATCTGCCATTAGTCAAATGGCCTCTTAAAAAGAAGCAGTTTCCATCATAGACAATTCATACTTTTATTTCCTTGTCTAATTGTTTCTCAACTTTTTACACATTGAGCAGCAAAAATGTTTCACCGTGAGTGTAAGGGCAGCCAGTTATCAAGGCTCTTATATATACACATCGCTATCAGTTGTAAATCACACTATTGCAATTATCTGCGGAAATGAAATACCAGGCTAGTCGGCCAGGTTCTGTCCCAATAACTATGTGGTTCTGATTAGTTTAAAACTTTATCATGATTAAACGTGCTGTGATAATGATATATGCTTTCTTATCGATAGTTTTACTGGTAAGCTCTTCGTAATAGGTGATTTAGTGGGTGATTTTTTAAATCATAGATTAGTGGACCGCTTGATTTTGGCGGAGGGTTTTTTAAAGGATTAACAGGACTTCCGATAAGTGGTAAAATTTGTATTTCTGTAATCTAATGTTTGAGGAAAATGTCTCTAAATTAAAATGTCCATCATTAGGATTTTTTACAGCTAGCGTTTTTTTGCTTTAGTTGTGGGCGATTTCTGTTGAAGAACACATCAATCAAGAAATGTTTTTGGGTTAAGAGAAAGGTTTTGGTTAAAAGAAAGAAGAATATTTGGGAATTGGGTGCTGAAATAGTGACGTATACATTACCCAAAACATCCGACTCAACCATTTTCTTTTTTTTTCTGACACCAAATCTTCTTTAATTATTTCAGAAATTACCTTACCTAGACACCGAACTGTAAATATATTTTATACATTTTAGAATTAGTTCAATACACCTTGGCAAAAATTTAATGCTACGCATCCTCCCGTCCTAGTCCTAATTTTTAACTTTAGATAAATAATTGAAAATGTAACAATGCTCTTGAAGACAAAGAAATTCTGCTATCAGTAAAGCTACACATAATTTTAAATGTTTCTTATATTTGGATAAAGATAAACACCTGCAGAATTAACTTAATTTCTGCTGAATAACACGTTGATGCTAACACTAATAACGACCAAACACAGCTTGTCATGTATTGTAAATATTATTATCGATTTTTAAAAGTGGACCCGTGTGCAAATTGTGCAGCTGGATATTGCTCAAAATTCATAAATAACAACTAGGGGACCTGTGCGCTATTGAGCAGTTTAATATAGTCCAAACTGAATCAAGTGCCCATGTCCATTTAATTTGCCTTTTCAAGGCATTCTACTCTACTTAAAAAAAAGAACTAGGAGTAGCAAAACAATCTCTTAATTGGTTTACGTCATATCTCACTGAAAGATCTCAATACCTAGGAATCACTTGCCGAATTACAATAGAATTATTAAATCATGCTCAACATATAAACCAATAGTTTTAGGAGGGCTCAACAAAAAGATGTAAAAATGTGTATTTTTAGATGGACTTCATTTTGTATATTTAGCTTTTTCCTGTATCTCTAATAATAAAGTCACTATAGCCAAAAATATAGAAATATGCCGCCATTTTCCTATATGGCGGCCGTAGCACAGCTTCAATTTTAGGGGACTTTTAGTATGTTCAAAAGGAAGGTAAACCCAACATTTGTACCAAATTCACCGGTTGTGCTAATTTTTTTTAGGTTTATGGAATTTTTGCTTATTTTTACTGCACTACTAGGAAATTACCTTTTTTTGTATCATAAGCTTTAAAATGACACCTCAATTAATGAAGATCGGTTTAGTAGGACAGCTAGAAAAGGGATGTAACAGAGAAAACCTTTTTTGTTTTAAGTATAATTATAGAATATTGTTTGTAAATTATTTTTCATTACAGCAAATACACTTGTCAGAATCCACAGCTGACCCCGATGCTCTACCGGACCCCGACCCAGATCCAGCGTTCCGGTTGATCCAGTTAGGGAACGGACCAGTACTGTCTAGGATACTATCCGGAGTGTTAGCTCTGGTATTGAACCTGGTGATCGGGTTGGTACTACTGCTGCTCAGGACGCTCGGTTTGATCAACATTGATGTCGACAAATGCCTCAAATGTTTTACATGCGGCCTTAACATTTGGGATGGATGCTGTTTTTAAGACAAGCTTGGTATGTTTATACGAGTATTTATGCTAAATATATATTTTAAGTACACATTTTTGTTATATTTATATCCTATATGTTGTTTAAGTTTGACTAAGCAAGTTCATTTAAAGGTTTAATAAAAACTAAATTAAAGATAAAAGTTCATGATTCTGTACATATTTACAAATAATTATTAACAATAAATGTGGACTATTTTTTAATTTTTTTTTGTAGATGGCCCTATAATGTATGTCTGGGATACCAATGTATGTAATTATCAGGATACCAATAGTATTTTTAGCCAATTCATTTCATATTTAGAACCGTTTTTTAGCCTTAAATGTTCAAAAGGATTGGAGTTACATGTGTTGCATTTTGGTTTGAAGAAAAATATTTCAAATTGTAGTCTGCTATCAAGCTGATGAAATTTTATACTTTCTCAAATAACTCAATACATTAAACATTAAACAACCCAACCAACTATTACATGTTCTTATGCAACAAGGAAGAAACAATATACACCATATACTTGTAAATATTTACACATTTTTATTATAAAAACATGAATCAACGCATCCATACATTGTCATAATAAAGCCTAAGGATATAATAAATAACTCTTACCTTGGACCCCCTAAACTATTCGTTCTTTACAAAAATGTCTATGCTACACATTCACTTCATACACTCTTTAGAGCACTGTAAAGCCAACTTGAGTCTAGAGAAAATGCAATCCTTATAAATAACTTAAAGCAATAAAAATTTGGTTTTGATTAATAAATGTCTGTCACAGCCAGATTTTGTTGAGTATTCTTTGTGTTGAAGATACTTAATTTCACTAAGATTAGTAGAAATAAACTGCATGTCTACATTAATTGACAGTATTGAATATAAAAAAAATATTGTAAGAAATTACCGTTTTAAGGAAAAAATTAACTATTTTCTAAAATTTTACAGAATTGAACTTTCCAGTAAATTGAGTTTTTAAGTATCTTGAACACTTTGAACTGTGAACATCCTAGTTTTATTTGGATAGTCTACTAGTCAGACATAAACCTTTAACATAGATTTAATTGAAATAAAACAAATTGAATTACAATTAACAAGCGTTGTCTGCTGCATGTGTAATTTTATTATAACTTGAGTAACAACTTTAATATAAAGGATAAAAGAGACAGAATTTTGGATGTAAATTTACAAGCATGGGTAAAATTTGTGTTTAGAATCATAATATCAAGTGACAAAACAAATTATTTGTGGTAGGCTTGTTTATGGTTTCGTTAGAATAAAAATAAGTCAGTATTCTGTTTTTCCCTGATTAACACTTAGCGTTAAAAATTCCAACCAGTGTTTTGTCAACCGTGTAAATAGAATACAACCCACAACGATGAGTAATAAATTTAAATCGGTATTTTAGTTCATAAAAGCTTTAATATTGGTCCGTTCACAACTGGCACAATACCTTCTTTACCATATTAGTGTGAACACCAAAGTAATGGGTGCAGCAGATAATGCTCTTAATTCAAACTGACACTACCGACACAGTTTAACCAAAAATCAACAATTTTTAAACTGCAAACAAAACAAGGCCGAACAAAACATCACATTCTATTTTGAGACTAAATACTTGAACACATGTTATTCACTATACTTAAGATATACGAGTTCTTATACAATCGTAAGAAACCGAAGCTCAAAACCAGATTGGAAATATTTGTTCAAATCGGAACGTGCAAGGTAAGTATATAGAGTAAGGTAAAAATATTCCATACTGCTAGATAAAAGCTTAAACGACCGAGAGATTTAAAAAATTACAAAGTAACTATAAAACGCTAGGATGACAAGATGCAAGCGACAGCTTGAAAATGCTACAAAGTAATAATAAATAATACTAAATACGTAACTATAGGTTATACATGTGATTGTACATGTTTGATAACGTATTTGAAAAATACAAGGCAGAAGAATTTTATTGTAACTTAATAATGAGTAGAATACATTACTTGATTCAGTAACCTCAAGATCGGTAAATTCAGAGGCCATTTTAGGAATAAATAACTGTACAGAAAATCAAACAATGTCTATTGTTTTAAAATTAACAATGGCATAGGTAAAAATGTAAGTAATAAACACTAGTTTCTTAGGAGGAAAGAGCACTGAGCTTACATTAAAGAGGAAAACATTAAGAAAGAGGTAGATATTTGTCACATCCTAAAAATAGTTTTCAACCAGAGATAGCTCTCAAAACAATCACAATACTATACTTGATATGTTGGAATTTCCAAGAGGCTTCATAAAGTATGAAGCCTTCCAATATTTTAGTCCATTACTGACTTCTCTATGAACTCCCTGAGATAAATATTATGTACAAACTGTAGTGAACTTTTTGTGTCCTAACAAATGCCTGAATCCCATTTCTCAATGGTCAATCTGGTTTCTTGTTGGAAAAACTTTGAATCTTATATGAGTTAGAACTAAAACAGACATACAACAAACAATTTAAATTTGCAAAATACTACAAGTTAACGTCAAATTCTTCTGCCTTGCATATTCAATGTACTTTGGGCCGAAGCCCCGGCAACAAACAAGAGTAAAAAAAGAAACAGGCACGTTTGTGTGACGTTACTGTCCACCAAACTCGAGTCCCAACTCGGCAGAACACAATCCACTCACTTTTCTTTACAAAATCGTGCATTTTAATTTCTTCCGCTTGCTCTTGTCCTTGCCTTTGCCGTTGCTCAATTTGTTGTCTTCCATTTTTCTCGATCTGATTTCCCTCATCAGATCGAAAAACACCTGGAACAAGTTACCAGTGGTTGTATTAAAAGGCACAACCAGTACAACAACTAAATAGAAATCAAACATGTCATGTAGTCACTATATCATCAGTAGGAGCTTAAGTTTTTGAAACAACCTTTAGTTAAATGAACGAGGTGTAATCTAGGCTAGGAAATGAGCGAGTCAAAAAGTAATTTATGCCCAAATGGAAAGACTATATTGTTTTCTAACTGCACTATTTGTATAGCTAATAAATTCATTAAACAAAAAATATTTTACATTGTTTACCTTTATGAACAATTCTCTTAATAGTTTCTAGATGTGTAGTTTTTCTGTTAAATATGAACACTAATATTGCTATTTTGATGCACTATGTATTAATCCACCAACACATAATATAGTAATTAATCATTAAAATTACTGAAATATTTTTATTTCCTAATTTATTCTTATGTAAATAAATAAGAGGTAACATGAAAAGTAAAAAAAAAAAAAAAAAAACTATAGGCATACGGGGATATTTTTGTTTGTTGAATCTTTTTTCATCAGCAAAATCAGTGAACAAATTTTTAATTCATAAAGGGTTCTGCCTATATGTGGTCTGTAGTTTTCGCGTTGCAATAGACCCCTGAACTCAATAAACAAAAAATTACCTTATAGGCCTAAGATTAGAATAAGGGTTCAAATACACTGGGTAATTTATTTTTGTTTTGACAAATGCTATAATTTATCATTTTGCTATAGTTTATTTTTGTATCGAAATCAGTTACCTTTTGCGACCCTTAGTACAATCAACTAATTTTTATCTTATAAAAAGATAGGGCATTTGCCAGGAATTATTAAGGAAATTGACAGGAAAGCAGGCTTACCTTTAAATAAGTCCATAGAGACACATAAAACATCACAAAATTAAAAGTAGAAATTTTCGTGGTCACTGACCACTTTTTCAACCACTGGAGATTGGAGAAAAAACTTTTTCTCCAATCTCCAGTGGAAAATTTCAACTAATTTTTAGTGATATCTGTTATTCTGCAGTAAAATTTAAGCGATTCCTGTGGCTCCTGTTAAAACAATTTACACTGAAAAAAGGTTATGAATTAGCAAGTTTTACTGCTAAAAAAGTGCTACCTTGTCCACGTTGTCTCTAGTCTTGGCCGAGGTTTCCACATAAGGCACCCCCCACTCCTGCGCTCTGCCTAGTGCGTCCTGCAGCGAAACTTTCCTCTTCTCGTCCAAATCCCCCTTGTTGCCAACCAACAGGAATGGAATATTCTCATCGTTCTTCACGCGGAGAATCTGCTCTCTGAAATATTTATGTTAAGGTTAGAATTACAGTAATTAGAAAAGATGAAAAATTTCTAATTACCGGTAATGACCTGGTTTTCTTCCCATCATATTACAAGAAAGTGTAAGTTAAAGACTAGAATTTGAGAATAACAATTTAGGATCATATAATCAGTTTAAGAGAAACCCACAATCATTATTGGTAGTTTGATGTAGGCCTAACTAAAACGTTTCCAGCTAACTTCAGGCTAAGATTTGATGACGTTTTGGAACTTTTTGAAACTAACGTTTTGAGAGACTAGCTGAAAATCAGCTGTTAACGTTTTGTAACTGAAAGATAAGCTGAAAATCAGCTGTAAACTAAATTTGATAATGCTTTACCTGAATTCTTGTGTAGCTTGAAAGCTCTCATCTTCTGTGATTGAGAACACACACAAAAATCCTTCCCCACTTCTGAAATAGTTATCTCTGAAACAAAGACATTACATTGAATCAAAAACCTAATGTTAGAGCTTCATGTTAGGTTTTGGTGTGCCCACTCTAAAGCACTTTTATTTAGTTATCAAGAGTTTCCAACCAAACTAAAAACTATCAGCATGTTTGTGTTATTCTAACAACTAATATTTCCATCTAGATTTACAACATTTTTACATACTTATTTACTAATATATACACTAAAACGACCGTTCATAAAAAAACCTTCAGCACTTTTAAAACAAAAGTAACGAACAATTGGTTGAGGCATTAACCTTGAACAGCACAAACAAAGGCATCTGTTTCTTGTTCGTTATTGGTAAACAAATTGTACTGTTTATACCACCAGATGTTTGTTTGAAACTCATTCATACCAACATTAAACATTGTACTTTTTTGAAACACTGCTGAAGTTGTTCAGTTTTAAAGGGAGTGGTTAAATATTTGATTATGATAATCATTGAGATTATTTATACCTAATCTAAAATTATTGGCATTAGAAATTAGGCAATACCAAGAAATATTACAGATCTGACTTACTTGTCAACTTCTCAGAAACAGGCTTAGTATCTGAGTACCATGGACTTATTTGACAACTTAAAACTTACCGTTTGAATCATGGTATTATCTAAACAAACTTCTACGTTACTTTTAAAATTTGAATGAGAGTTTAAATAGCGTATTGAAGGGCATTTGTCTACCTTGGATGTTTATGAAAACCACCTAAATGTTGGACATATGCGATGTAAATTCGCTAAAAACTGAGACATGGTTAAATCTGTAAATTTAGGATAATTTACATAGGTATATTGACAAAATAGGCAAAAATTAAGAAACAAGAGCCAAGGTGCAAAGGGTCTATAATAAAAACTTTTTTACAACATTTAACATCATTCATTTAAACTTCCTCCTCAAATTAGACTAAAAACATACAAAAATTATTGATCATATCCAAACACTTTGACATTGGACAGAGATGCTTAACTGGGTATCCTAGCGATTAGAGAGCTTGTTATCTAATGGGAAAGTAGGTTTAACAATCAGTTTTCATGGTTTGTTGGGTAATCATTGAATTATCAGTTAGATGCAGTCTAACAACTGTTCTTATTAGTTGGAATAAATTACAAACTACTCTCTTGCGAAAAAGCTAAAATACCTAAAGCATAAAATACTGCTAACTTTTATTCTTTTAACAAAAAAATTTTAAGGTACCTTTTTACTATATCCTCTTAAAAATATTAAAAACTTTTTAAAAGTTTCCAATCGTCTATAACCCATAAGTAGGGCTATTTAGCCAATTTAAAAACAGCAGGCTACACTCAACGATAATACTTGCAATTTGGGCCAGATCTCTATTTATTGGCTGAATGCCAAAGACTCAACTATCCAATTCACATTTAACATTGTAACAGATTAGCCTACATTGTTTCTTCTTGGTTTGGACAATCTTAACGGCCGCATTCAAACCAAATGCTTCCGTCTTATACAAATGGTTTGCTTTAACCGTTTTCTTAGCTAAAAACTGTTTAATAAAATCAAATACAGTAATAGTCAAGTTTTATTTTCTTTTAATGTATATAATTTAAATGGTTTTTGTATTTTCATCCAAGTGGGAAAGCCAATAGGCTAATAGTATAGAAAAAGGAAATAAATAGGAGCTCTCAAACTACATTTTAAATAATTACGTTAACCTTTTGGTCAATTCCTAGGACAAACCAGCTGTATTTGAGTTAAATTTTTTCAAGTAAAAATGTATAGTCCAGTCAAGGAATGAGGTGTAGAGTGCGTGAGCAGGTAACTAAGCGATTCCTTCAGAAACTTGTTCAGGGGGCTTAGGGTGTTAACATACCAAAAGTCCTGACTCCTAGGTAGTGAGCCAGGGGGTGGAGAGGGGAAAAAGGTACGCATTTTGGGTTTTTTTTATTATATCTCAAAAACTATCAACTTTTTGTATACTATAGTAAATTATAAAATTGAAGAAGATTAAATTTTCTACAAGAAAAGTATATAGTGTGTTTATTTTGGTTCAACAGATTACGAGTTATAACTTATTTAATTGATATCTTATTAAAATCTCCTTCCATAAGAAATACATGTAAATTAGTATGCGAAATGGGGCGAATCCTATCCGCCCAAAGGAAATATAAATGATATTCTGGAAATCTTGACAAAATTTCCAGTAATTTGACACTTTAATCATTAAAATTGATCCAAAATTAAAGCGAGGGCGAGGTAACAAAATGTCGAGTTTTTTTATTGGAAATATAAAAAAAAAAACCTTAAATCATCCCATTTTTAAACGCTCACCCTCGCTTTAATTTTTGACAAAATTTCATGATTAAAGTGTCAAATTACTGGAAATTTTGTCAAGATTTCCAGAATATCATTTATATTTCCTTTGGGCGGATAGGATTCGCCCCATTTCGCATACTAATTTACATGTATTTCTTATGGAAGGAGATTTTAAAAAGATATCAATTAAATAAGTTATAACTCGTAATCTGTTGAACCAAAATAAACACATTATATACTTTTCTTGTAGAAAATTTAATCTTCTTCAATTTTATAATTTACTATAGTATACAAAAAGTTGATAGTTTTCGAGATATAATCAAAAAACCTAAAATGCGTACCTTTTTCCCCCCTCCACCCCCTGGCTCACCACCTAGGAGTCAGGACTTTTGGTATGTTAACACCCTAAGCCCCCTGAACAAGTTTCTGAAGGAATCGCTTAGTTACCTGCTCACGAATAATGAAACTTTTGTGATTTTACCTAATTAAATATCATAGTTACTCTCATTGCTTACCCATGATAAAGGTTGTTGACAAGCTAATGGGAGAAAGTATGTGTCAGATTGCTAATACCGTTTATTTATTTATTTCATAGCTTTGACAATGTCTATTGCACAATTGGATGTAAAAGGATTCTTATTCTTAAAACTATTAATATCACCACCTATTTGTTCTTGATTGCTGGTGATATTAATAGTTTTAAGAATAAGAATCCTTTTACATCCAGTAAAAAAAATCTTTTTTCCTTGTTTAAAAACTGAATCTATTCAGTTTTTAAACAAGGAGGCCCTTAAAATCTTTTGATTGAACCATTAATCTAACTGAGTTTTTTAATGACTACACCAAATTTTGTTGGAATAACAATTAGTTTCAACCCGGCATTACCTGATGGCGGCGTAGTCCTCCTGGCCGGCAGTATCTAGAATGTCAATCTGCACCTCTTCTCCGTCCAGAACTACTTTTTTTCTGTACGAGTCAGCTTTGGTTGGCTCGTAGTCCTCAACAAACTGAAAACAAGCAGTTAATCTAACACAAATTGTCTACTAATTCATCAAAAAAGGAAGACAGTTTTGTTTGTAATACAAGTCAAAATTTACTAAACACTCAATGTGAGATTGATTAAACTGTAAAAAATATATTTGAGCAAGATTCTTAGTAAAATGTAACATCTTTAAATAAGATAGGCCTATATCAAAAACAAACCTTTTTCAATTTTAGCTTGCAACTTTTAAAACTCACATTTCAACATAAAAATGCTGAATATAATTATTTGTTAAAAAACCTCTATTATTACTAAAAATATAATACTAGAGGTTATTAATACGTATAATACTAGGCTTAAGTGTATTCTGTCCAGCCTAAGTTTATGCAGAATAAAACCACATCAAAATTTTCTGGTTTAAATAAACTTTTTCTAACAATTAATATAAAAAGAGATACAAAATAAAGAAACCAAAATACTAAAATACATAATTTTTCAGCTTTTTAACATGAACAAGATTCAAAGATTTTTTCACAATGATTGAAAAAATGAAAATCTTAGTGTTAAGCCTAGTCTTAAGTTGAGTCATAATTGCACTACAACAAGTCACGTTGATTCACCAATGACAAATGGTATCAGCTGACAGCCAATGAGTTATGACTCATTCGCTTGTGGATAGGTTTACCATCAATCTCAAAATACAAGGAGGTTTGTTTAGATCCTTATTTTTATGTCCACACTATAATTTTCTTTTAAGAATTCAGTAAAGAATAAACTTTGACATAAGATACATTATAATCTGTTAGTTTATATTTAGGCAGGAATTTAAAAAACAACAGAATGAATCTAGAAAGCCGACACAATCACAGGAAAACATTCTTCACAAGATTATTTCAAGGCTGGAAGAGTTGTTGACAACATATTCCTTCTAATGCCTAGTCTACCTTCCTTCTAATACTAGGAACTTGAAATTGAGACTTTCCAATTTAATATATTTACCCAGTCAAGTATCGCCTTTTGTTTTGACACAACAGAGAAAATATTACTACTTTAATTTTAGTACACCTATCAGTTTCCCTTGTACCATTGGGTATATTAATTTATAATTCTTTTTAAAATTTACACTTAAACTTAAAAATGAAACTACTTGTTCAACATTGTATTGCAGCATAACATTTGTAAAATTAAGCAGGCAAATAACACGTAAGCCATGAAAAGCTTTACAGTTAAAACAGTTGGAGTGAAGAGCCCAACATCGAATAGGTTATAATAGCCTACTTGGTTTGTTATCCTAATTGAAATTAAATGAAATGTTTATTTGCCATGCACAGAATTTACATTAATAATTGTGACACATCACCAGAAAACATATGACACATTCGGGTTTTTTTTTACATAAACACATCATATTATACATTTGATTTATTAGTACATACAGTAAGTAGACTCCCTCTTATCCGGACACCTTTTAACCGGACATCGGTTTAACCGGACTACATTCGGCGGAAATGACATCTCTTTAACCGGACAATTTTTATCAGCACATTGGTTTAACCGGACTAGATCAGCAGGAAGTGGGCGGTACTGAAACGACTATTCTCATGGGAAAGAATTGAGACCAGGGATCACGTGTCTAAGTACAATGCTGTCCTAAATTTAAGTTGAATATCACAGTAAACGGTCTGTTTTAACGAGTTTTTGGGGACGTCGGTTTATCCGGACTGGCCTCGGTCCCGAGGAGTCCGGATAAGAGGGAGTCTACTGTAATTAGTAATTGAACTAAAAAATGAGGTCAGAAGTTAATAATGAAGAATTTATTACACACTGAAAGGGGTGTAGCTCAAGATTATTTGAATGCACATTAAATTTATTTGGTCCCTGCGCTATTAATCCATGTAACAAACCAAACAAAAAGTCGCAAACAAGAAAAAAATATTTTTGTGGAAAAATTAACATGGCATTTGAAAATTTTTAATGTGATAGCCTATTTTATATCTTTAGTTCAGGAATGATAATTTAAAGGACATTAGATAGTTCAGGCACACCATGTATAATTCCTTTACAACACAGGACAGATTCCATTTGAACACTTAAAAATTCAAATGAGCAACAGAAAGAGTCACACACTTCAGTGAAGCTATTCACCATTGTCTTCTAGCCTTGGGTATTCAACACACCCAGCTGACTTTGGTAATCAAAAATCGTTTTTGGTTGGTCGATAAAGTAGGTTAAAATTACACTTCATGATGTTCAAACTAACAATTTTGTCCTAGCAAACCATATTTTTTAAATGAAAGCAATTTTGACCTATTTCCAGGTTTTTTTGTTTTGTTTTAAGTTACTTAAGCATGTAAAAGAAGCTTAGTGGTATTATATTGTGGAATTTAAAAAGTACTGTAGTTAATTTATTGATAGGTGACAGCTAGATGTCAACAGTAAATTTACAATTACTAGGTGGGGCATACCATGTTTTTGATAAAATGTTCATCAAAGGCACTTAGTTTTAAACTAAAACCACGTGTGCTTATTTAAGATTATAGTGATTTAGAACAAATGGTATTTTTTGTTTTGTTTCACTAAGCTCAATTCAACAGTGGAATATTGTATCCTGTAGATTAATAAAGACTTTACAAGATTAAATCTCGAAAGCTGATGATGGTGGTTTTAAGTTACTGACTCTAAAACTAATTAACTAGGCTAATGATATTATTAGTTATTTAAGCGTAACAAATCAAGCTTAGTAGAAAAAGATAGTATGGAATAGTTTGTGAGATAGAAAAGAAGATAAATTGTCAAAACAAACCTAAACGAGGGTGATAGCTACTATTAGACTATTTCTAAACTATTAGTTCTGTCGTTTAAAAATTTTTATTATGATGCCTTTGAAATCGTACTGGACTTAGGTGTTTACCAATAAGACTGCATAGCTACTTTACAATAAGATACCTTAATAATTAGGAAACTATTTTACTGATGACAGATAATTTTTAAGGAACTGGATAGTCAAAATGCTAACGACAGTACATTGTCTCTAATTTAATTTTTACAGAAATCAACCTAGGCCTAATAGCTAATAGCTGTTACCCTAGTGCGTCACCCCGTTTTACTTCATAAGTATTAATAAAACTATTGATTGGTCAAGTTAAGCTGAAATAAACAAACCAGAATACAGTAGCCTAATAAAAACAAATAACTGTTAAAATGGAAACTGCTTCAGACACACATTAAGTTGAAACAAAACATGTTGTGTCTAGAAATTATGTGTCTCATTCATCAGTTTAACTTTCAATTAAAGAGTAAGAATATCAAATATATCAACCAACTAACCTCATCGTACATGAATTGTAGAGTAAGTGCAGATTTGCCAACACCTCCACTTCCCACCATGATCACCTTGTGAAGGGCTGGTTGTGTGCTTGGCTTCTTTGACATCTTTGAACCTGCAATAGATCAAGTAATAAATTACACTTTTTTTAATGTCAATTAGCTTAGGTACCTACTAAAATTCTAGAACCAATTTGCGGCAGACGTGGTGAATTGGTACTTTCGTATTAAGGCCACATTATTTTAGAGGGAATTGTTTACCGGAGACCAATATTAACTACATAATTGGAAAGAACATAGGTACTTTAATTGACTTACTGTCCAAATTTGACATGATTGCGATTAGTGGCCTTTGGGTTCTTCCTCCCAGAAGGCAACGATGTCGGCGAGGATTGAGTTGAATGCGTCGCCGCAACTATAGCTGCCACATGTACTCCAGCAAGTAGGTATACAGTGCGCTGCGGCGGAAATGTTAGGTTGCGTTATAATAAATATCTTTGTAGGACTTTCCTCGTTTTGTTATGAACCAAACGAAACCAGATGAGTCATAACTCAGGACACTGACGCAGATATACAGGCAGTGATGGATGATGTGTGCGCTCCGGTCAACAACCTGTCCTTGGCCTACTTGGAGGGGATTTGTTGGGCAAAAGTATGACTCATCTCATCTGGTATCGTTTCGATTCACGAAACGAGGAAAGCTCTACAAACATATTTATGATAACCCAACCTAACATAATCTCCGCAGCGTGCTGTATAAGAGCGGCCTCCATATACTACGTAAGTACCTATATATAATAAAGCTGTTGGGGTTACAACTGCAGATTTAATCATTAAACTGTTTAACGATATCATGAGAAAACTTAAGGGAAATTTCTATATCTTGGTAGAAAGATTATTTGAATAGCCTATTAATGAGTTTAAATGCTTTACTCTCAGCCACACAAGGAATAATGAGAAACTTGTAGCTTTCTATTGGATTCAAGACAACGAACATGAGTGCTCACGGGGCATTTCTAGTTAAGCTACATCTGGTTATAGTTCAAGCGACAATGTTGTACGTAGTCAAAGTACTAGAAGACAAAAACCTACCAGCTCCAAAAGGGTGAAAAAAGGGACTAAAGGGGAGGTTATTTCACATTTGGATAGATAAACTAACAACTGGATTGTAAGTTCTACAAACCAATAAGAAAATATCGATATAGACCAATTTGTATATACCAAGGCAAAAATGTGGTTCGGATTCCACTATTAACTGTAGGTCCCTTAGTTGCCATTAGCTGTATGGGCTATTAATTAATAGCTGTGTCTAAGGAATGTCGGCCTTAGTCACTAACAAGACTAGGGCCTATAGTCCTCGCCACCCTAAGTTGAGGCAGCCAAAGGCCGCTCTAGATATACGCCAAGCGGCCTTGGGCTGCCTCAACTTAGGGTGGCGAGGACTATACACAAGATCGAGTCACTCATCCTACACTCATCTCCATTCATACTTTGCCTTAAAATACCTACTTTGTATGGTCGCCATTTAATAAGGAAGAAAGAAAGAAAGAAAGAAATACTAAGTTAGTTACTGATAGCCTACTGGGCTGGTTTTCAAATTAACTGGATATTTTACAGATGAAGATCTAAACTCAAGCCTAGAGTTAACTTAAAAGGGGTATCAGGAACATCAGGCCGAGTGCAATTTTCTGAGAATAAGTTATTAGGATTACATTATTGTTATTTATATGCACGTTTATGTTCATCTTTAGGTTTTATTACATCAGTTACCGCTCTTATGATCTATATAATAGTAGTAATGCAGTAGCATTCTGGTTAGGTGCCCATTGAACTGGTGGCAAGGCAAAAGAGGCGTTGCCACTTATGACTGCAAGAGCCACTCCCTAAACAAAAACGAAATAGATCCAAGCTAACCACCAATTTATTATATTTTAAATAAGGGTGAATCAAACTTTGATGAGATAAATATCATACATACCTTATGTAAAATATCTCAAAATACAAGCTACAAACACTTTTCAACTAGCAGAACGCCAGAACAACTGGCCAACCAATAAACAAAATTTGTCACTAATAAACAGGGTGGCCACTCACTCCGCAAAGTTATAAGAAAATCGGCCTTCTAAGCATTGAGTAGATACGTATGTTTCAACGCTGTAGTTATAGTTTAAGCTTAAAATAATTATTCGCACATAGAGTTAGATTTATTGTAATAAAATCTTCCCAGGATTTCCAATTATCGGAGCCATATCGGATGAGAACCAAATTCTGGTGTTTGCAAACTTGATGTTTTGCTTTCACTTATTCAATGTAAATAATTATCCTTTTGATTTATTTATTTTATACGCGGCAATACACATTGACGAAAATGCATTTCGCTTAGTTTTACAATATTTGGATACTACAAAAATACCCCAAATTCTCAATTTGTTTTAATCTTTCTTTACTTTATTTACATAGATAAATAGTGACATAGGGTATATTTTAAACCAGTTAGCAACAACATCAAACAACGTAGTAATATTCGCAGTTATGAGATAATTTAAAAGTTAAGTTATGTGATTTTGAAGTTATTACCATGCAAACATGGAAACATGTAAGGGAAACTATCATAGACGGGAGTAATACATTTTATTATATGCTATTACCCTCATTATAAGCTACAAGATATTTTGTAGCAACTACATGGATAAATTTTATTTAGGCCGTAAAGCATATGTATTTGGACACATTATAATGAAAAAAATACATTCACAACAACAAAAACAAAACAATAAAAATACCTAACTAACCTACAAACAAATAAGTTGGATGGACACTACATTAATTTATTTAATTTGTCGTTTATTTTCAAAGAAGAAATATTTTTGGATAACCATAAGCTAAGCCACCAACTCTGGAAAGAAATAATGACTGTTACATTATTATAATCCTGCTTAACCGTGAAAATGGATGTTTTCCTAAGCAAAGTCTTTCTTTCATTGGAAACATTTTTACAGAAGGTAAGTAATAATTTATTATTATTATTTACCGGGGCGAGAGAGATGTGTATTTTACTTATCAATGTCAAAATATGTTGTCCATCTACATTCCTAATTAGCTGCTATTTTAAGTTAGTGTAGTTTCTAGCTGCTGTAGGATTCATAGACCCTGCACAGAAGGGCCAACAAATGATTGAATTTGGGGTTTATTAATAGCAGGTTAATTAATAGCAGAGCTACACAAGGTCAAATTAGGCTACCATTCAAGTGATACAGGAAGCTATACCAAAGGTATACAAGTTCCAGCTGCCAAGTACGGCCGAATCCCGAGAAAAGTTGGGAGATTTAAAGTAGTGGGGTTGGCCCTGTAAAGAGAAATACCGTATTGGTAATTTTTGCCCTAAACACACTTAGAGGTAGCTTAGACTTTTATAAGCGGTATTTCAAACAAGCTTGATTTAAAATATCAAACTTAAATAAGTTATGGCCTACATGGATTATATCAAACTTAAATATCAATCGTTATTTCTGTATAGGCCTAGGCCTAATGATCGATACCTAATAATAAAACATGGGTATGTTAGCCTATACCTATAGATGAATATTTATAAAATTAACAATATTGTTTCGTTTGCAAAATGTCGTTAGCCTAAGTGAAACTTTTGGAAATTAAATTAAATTAGGCTACCTTAAAAGACGATATTATTTGTGTTAAAATACCGGTACCTCCAAGAACTGGAATTGATTCCCAAACAATCTAATTGCGATATTTGCTTAGATGCTATGAAAGTGATAACTTAATTAAAGGAACTTTCATGCATTTCGTTAATGCAACAAAGTGTGTTGTACCATGAATGTGAATGTAGGGGAATCAAATCAAATGTAGGCCTAAATAAATTCAAGGTTTTTTCGTGTTAGTTTCTTTATAATTATAACCCACGATATAAAATAACAAAAAACTTAAAGTGATTGATGTATCGATATATTTAATTTTGATATTTTCATTCGGTTGTTTGGGATGCCGCTTATGAAAGTCTACCCCACACTTAGTTAAGAGAAAATATCAGATTTTTTTCTTATGCAATTAAAACATGTGTATCTGGGGTAATGTATGTGGCACTAGAACTGCCGTTTCTTCATAAGGAGATATTCTGTTCTGGAAAGCGCAGATTTGGTTCAAACTGTTAAAGATATCCTGGACATGGACTTCTTGTAGGCAATGATTTAAGTAACTAATCAGGCGTAGGCAATTTAAATATGTTTTACTTTATTATAACATTATTATTTTAAAACTAAATATTTTCTTTGTTTCAGACAACAACATTGAACATATTTGAAGCATTAATATTTAACTATAAGATAAAAATAAATTCAGTAGAACAATGTTCGCCACAGTTTGTTGGTTTTGTCGTTGATTTATGCAACGAGTTACAGGTAAATTATTTCACCTATATGATTGAGATTTATTTACCAAAAAAACTAAGAACAAATTATTTAAATCAGAGATAGGTCTTCCTAAAAAGGTCTTAAAGCTCTCATGTTTATATGTTTAGTTTCAAACCTATGCAATAAGGTGGGTAGAATTTAACTAAACTATTGGAGGTTGAAATGGAAGTAGCGTGTAACAATCAGTTGCTATGTGTTTATTTATTTATTTATAACTTAAGTTTATTTTAGCAAAATAAATATTTATCTCTTGTGATAGAGTTTCTTTATGGTAAGTTAGTTGTGTTGAGACTAATATTTATTGTACCACTTCCAGTTGAGTCTACGGGATTGTGTTGTCGAAGTGACTGACAAGCAAGATGTCATAAATCCTTCGGACACAACCTTCTGTGAGTTGCCCGATAATACCGATATAGCACCCGCTGAGTTTGTCACCTTCGCTACCACAACTACTACTGACCTAGGTATGTTTTCCTTTTGAAATAACCTATGTTTTCAAAACCATTATGCCATTATCACTGATTAATTTAAACTCTTTTGAAACATACTGAGTTTTTTTATACAAGCATATCCAAGCATATCTTTGCAATTTTTAACATTGAAAATTTTTTTTGTAAATAGCTCATTTCAGAATTGACGATTCATTTTACATGAATTTTTAACAAACTTTTCAGAGCCAAACACAGAAGAAGGCTTTGTCCCAAAAGAGATTGAAGCTGTAGTGGAAGAACCGCTACCCATCGTCGTAGACGTTGAAAAACAAAAGGTCCACACTTGTGAATTTTGCAACAGGTAAATTTTTAAAAGTTTATTTTGTGTTAGTTTTTGCAAGAACAGACAAATAGGTTACTAAAAGTTATGCCTACATGTAAACTATTGTAGATATTGAATAAGAATGATTTGATATTTTTGTAAGTCATTTTTAGTTAATTTAGATCGTGAAAAGTTGGATGCATTGCACGACGTCCAAGTGCCACGACGTCCAATAATATTTTTTCAGTGCCACGACGTCCAAAACATAATTTTTGAGTTGTTGCACGACGTCCAAGTGCCACGACGTCCAAAAGTACAGTAACTGCCAAAAATATAGTCTTTCTACAAGCTTTGGACGTCATGGCACTTGGACGTCGTGAAACAGCGCACTATAGAATTGTAAAAAAGTAACATTTGCACGACATCCAAAGTCGCAGCCAGTTGCACGACGTCCAAGTGCCACGACGTCCAATAAATATTTGACTGTTGCACGACGTCCAATATAGCTCAGCGCTGTTGCACGACGTCCAAGCTCCTTCATGATGACCGGTTACGATGACCGGCTACTTGCCGAACAGTGTTCTCTCGTGTAAAATGCTTATGGAACCTTTATTAGTTATATATACATGGGTATATGTTCTTGTTCAGAAATATATATACTATGAATATTTGTACCATTAATTGAAACATCATAAAGTAAAAAAAAAACATAAAAGAAAAAAATAAACAAGGCAACAGTTGGAAAACTATAAGGTTTACATGGTTTGAAAAATGATGACATTTTGTTAACAACCGATAAACTTCATTATGTTTGGAGTAACCTTTTAAATACTTATTTTTTCAAGATTAGATGAATGTACATTGATCAACATGATCTCTGAAAACTATTTTTTATACCCTCATTTTAATTTTTACTAGTATAAAGAATAGAATGCCTTTTTCGAACTGTTTTTTAGGCTTCAATTAAATGTTCTTATGTCGCAAATATGTTTATTAATAGTATTCACTTTTAACATTGACTTAATTTTATTTCAATAAATTTTGTGTTTGTGTTTTGCTACACCATTGCAACAAAAAAAACCCAAAATTTAAATTTATTTAATTTAAATTGCAACCAATGAGAATATCATATAAATAAGTGGTACACAGGTTTTTTTGTTTCCCCAACTCTAAAATACAACGCACATGAATTGAAAATGTTATAGGTTTTAATAGTACTGTAGCAAATCGAATATCAATAAAGTTAACTTATAACAATAAATTTACATATTCCTAGATTATAATTGAATGTGTTTACGAAGGAACACCACAGCCTCAAAATTCAACATTGCAGTATATTTACTCAAGATTTATTGTTTTCATATAGCACAGTTGATGTTGCCAACTAGCGTGGGAGCGGAAGTCCTGATAAAGGCTGGTTCTCGGAAAAGTAATAAACTTGTAGTTTGAATGAAACATTTTTTTATTTTGTACAGGATTCATGGGATCCTCAGCATAAAGTACAAACCACATACAAACTACAAAATGTGTGTCGAAGGTCTGATTAGACCTTCAGCAACTGATCCGTTTTTTACCTTCCTTTAATTTATTCTTTTTCATGTTGTGCTTCATGTAACATACATAGACTAGAGGGCCGCTCATGCCCTTGACAAATAAATTAAAATTTTCACACAAATACAAATCAATATCGTCATTAGACAAGAATTAAGAAATACAATTTATAAACAAAACCTACCACGGCATATTCTTGAACAAGTATGCCTACAAACCTACGATAAGCATGTTTGTTATTATTATACTTAACCTACAAATGCTATGACTTAGGGCATACCTGCTTTCCTAGATAAAATATCCGAACTAATTGCGAGTGCAACGTGAACTTAGAAAAAGACTAGTAAGAATTTACAACTGTGAATTTCTCAGAATTGATTGACAGTTCAGACGAACCTATGGCCACAGACTACGGAAACCTACAGTATTATTGTATTAGTATACTGTATTTGTATTATTGTGTTACTAGCAGAGTACCTGTCCTTCGTACGGGATTGGCATATAAGTATAAATGCTTATTACAGTTATGGGAGAGGACACGATTTAAAAAAAATGGTCTTTTAATTTATACGGTATCCTATAGTGTAGCACACATCTACCATAGTCCTGATGTTCTACCACTGTACCTAAACCATGGAAAAAGTAAAGTTCTCATTGTGTACCACACCTTTTTTTTGCTAGTTGGTTCAAATTAGCTGTGGTCATTAATGCAAACAAACAACATAATAGTGCTGCACCCTGTTTGGCAAGCCTTATAACTTTTTAATGCTTTTTAATATCATAGAACCAACTTGTACAGTTGAAACGGCTGACAAAATTCTTTAATTTCTTTTAATATGAATACTCATAAGGTTAACATGAGAAAGTCCAGAGCCAGAGCCACCGGGGCGGAGACTGAAAGAATTTTTGAGGTAAGAATATGTTAATCGGGGATGTCATCTATCATCATACCAAATTTCAACCTTGTCGGTTTAGTATTTTTCGCGTTTGCTTGTCACAAACATCCATCCATCCATCCATACATCCATACATCCATGGTTTGCACTGTAAACAAAAAGCTATCACAATAGTTCCAAGCCGACAAATAGAAAAATAGGAAAATATAAATAAATATGGAAAATAGGGTAATTTTCTAACATATTTTAGTGAAATTATATAATCAGGCAAATGGAAATTCAGTCTACAGATTTGCTGTGGCAGGGGGATTATATTACGGTTTACACAAAAATAAATAAAAACATAAACCTCATAACACTCAGGAAAAGGGCCTAGGTTGATAGGGCAACGATTATAGAATCTTAATTATTTCCTATATCCATGATGAATGATTTCTTTTAAAACGAATTATTCCCAGTAAAATATTATTACAGCATTCCACAAAAATAGAACAGACTCAGTATGATAGATCATAAACATAAACAAATGAAGTATCTGAAAGAATCATATACTAATTAAATTACATTAACATATGGTTTGACAAATAATGTTTTCATCACTCCTTAACGAAAGTAACTATTTTCGACAACAGCTGACATCAATGAAAGTAGTCGTTTCCCAAGCTCTAATTTAGGGCGAGGGAAAATCGATCAGCTGATTTTCCCTCGCTCTAAATTTACTTTCCCTCGCTCTCAATTAGTTATCCATTTACTCACTACGCGCGCTAGTGTTTTGTTACGATATAATTTAATGATTTGAATCAGCTGTATGTATAGTCAAAAGTTCTTTTATTGTTTTATTTTACTATTTATCCAAATTCATTGAAAAAATACGTAAGTTTCTTTTAGAGTATTTACTTTTATTTTTTAGTTCTAAAATTAATCGAAAATATACGTACGTATCCTTTTAGAAGATTTAATTTTATTTTGATGCTAATCAAATTAATTGAGAAATAAATTAGTTGTAATATTTCTGAGGTCTGCTATTCTGTGTTTGTGTATTTTTGCGTCGTGATGAAAAGTACCGTTCATAACTCGTACCGAAAGTTATTATCCGGCACTTGCTCCAACAAATTATTGTTGCGGCAACTTGCTTGTTGTTATTCCCGTCCTCGGCTTCGCCTCGTACGTGAAAATAGCTCTCACTCGGCTTCGCCTCGCACGTGAAATTGGGGTTCCCTGTGTTCGGCTTCGCCTCACACAAAAACTTGAGCGCGCCCCGGAAAATGCCACTTTCGGTCCTAGTAATGAAATATACTATTACATTCGGGCTAGTAACATCATTATTTTAAATTTATAATCCTTACCCTCTCTGTTCTAATATTCGTGCATTATTTAATATGTTTGAACCAGCTGTGTGGAATTGTGAAATCAAAATTAATTTGACAGTTAGTTCTGGTTGTTTACATTTATTAATTTAAATTAGGTGAACCGACATATTGGCCCTCTGATCGTAAAAAAATACCAGACCTTCTTGATTTTTTCGTTACGAATGGTGTATCCCGAGATTGTGTGACAATCGAGCAATCTCTGGACCTTTCCTCAGACCACTCACCTGTAATTTTAACGATCGCTTCAACTGTTATATTCAAACCTATTCCTCCACATTTATGTAACAAAAACACAGATTGGAATTATTTTCGTGAATTAATGGATCAAAATTTAAAGATTTCTGTGTGTTTGAAGAGCGAAGAAAATTTGAATCTTGCTGTTGAACATTTCAACAAAACAGTTCAAGACTCCGCTTGGAGAGCAACTCCGGAATAAGCTATCCAATTGAAATTAATAGGAAAATTGCCGAAAAACGCCGACTCCGTAGAATATGACAAAACTCTAGAGATCAGACGGATAAAAGAAATCTAAACAGGGCTACTCAACAACTAAAAAGGTTACTGTTTAAATTAAACAATGACAGATTTCAAGATTTCACATCAAAATTTTCTCCATCTGAAGCTAGTGACTACTCCCTTTGGAAAGTTACAAAAACTTAAAACGTCCACAAATTTGCATTCCACCTATTCTAAAAGAAGACGGTTCTTGGGCCAAAAACAACATCGAGAAAGCAGATGTCTTTGCTTCATACTTCAAAGAATAATATAAATTCAAACGTTGAACAAGAAATTTTGGAATTCCTCGATTCTCCAAATCAACTTGATTTACCGATAAAATAGTTTACACCATCCGAAGTAGCTAAAGTAATAAAAGACGATTTAAACGGCAAAAAAGCCCCCGGTTATGATCTGATAACAGGTAAAGTGTTGAAAGAGCTGCCTAGAAAAGGAATAGTATTCCTTACAGTACTTTTCAATGCAGTTTTTTGCCTCGAATACTTCCCACTGTATTGGAAGGTATCACAAATTTTGTTATTCCGAAACCTGGTAAACCTTTAAATCAAGCATCCTCGTATCGGCCTACATCTCTTCTTCCCGTGGTTTCAAAAGTTTTTGAAAAACTTTTTTTTAAAAGACTCCAAATTATAATTGACGAAAAAGAATTGTTGCCTTCTCATCAGTTTGGATTCCGCCGAAAGCATTCCACCATTGAGCAAGTGCATAGAATAGTGAATGTAATCAAGGAAGATCTTGAAAATAAACGTTTTTGTTCATCTGCTTTTTGGACGTAGCCCAGGCGTTTGATAAAGTCTGACACACAGGACTATTGTTCAAAATTAAAACTTTGTTGCCCCATACACACTATGGAGTGTTGAAATCGTATTTTACCTACGACCGTTTTTTAAAGTAGCCATTTCAGTCCAGTTCTTAGAATTGAAAAGTTTCACTTTACAGCTGTTTACTTTCATATCCGCATAGTTTCATTTCATATTCGCATAGTTTTCTCATATCCACACAGGTAACGGACCAATGAGGTTCAAGTATTGAGAGAAAAGAATTAAAATTGTAATGCTTCGAACGTCAACTAATCAGCTGATCAGCTGATCAGTTGACCAATTTAATTGTTGTTCCGACTTGTTCATGTTGATACTCGCGTATTCTTAATTACTGTAAGTTGGTGGAAGTCCAAAAATAAATTAAATATTTGCTGAATTGTACCTGATACAATATTATTTATGGTAAGAATGCTGCTAGCAATGTAATATTTAACGAAGTTTAACAAACACGTAATTACAGGAAATCAGCTGATTATACAACAAGTCGTTGCATCACTTTCAGTGGCAATGACAATACACGAAAACATAACCTCTCTAAAAAGTTATCATTAGTGATTGTTAGTAATTAAATCCAGATTGATAGTAATTAAAAAACGGTCGTAGGTAAAGTAGTGTACGCAACTCGCGTTAATAGTCTTTACGACACTCGTAGAAGCTTTTAAGGCACTCGCCAAGGCTCGTGCCTTAAATTTTCTACTCGTGTCGTAAAGACTCACTTAACGCAATCGTTGCGTAAACTACTATTACCAAACGCTTTTTTCAAATTAAATATCAAGATGTAGTTACAGATGTGCATGAAATTGAATCAGTTGTACCACAAGGCAGTGTTTTCGGACCTATTTTGTATATTTTGTTCACGTATGACCTTCCAAGTACTCAGGGTATTACAGTTGCAACATTTGCAGACGACACTGTTTTTTTGTCATCAAATCAGGATCCTATTCTAGCATCATCAAACCTTCAGGCTGCGTTAGACGATTTGTCTCAGTGGCTACAGAATTGGAAAATTAAAGTAAATGAAAAAAATCCGTTCTAAGTTACATTTACTATGTCTACAAGAACTTGCCCCCCAGTAACATTGAATAATGTGATGCTTCCACAATCCAACGAAGTTAAGTAACTTGGTATGCATCTCGACAGACGGCTTACATGGCATTCACACATTTGGAACAAACGACTTCATTTAAATTTTAAAACAAACAAACTAAATTGGCTTATTGGTCGAAATTCAAAATTATCTGTTGAAAATAAATTACTTTTATACAAAATTAATTGAAACCTATTTGGACCTACGGTATCCAACTCTGGGGAACCACTTCAAACTCGAACATAGAAATAGTTCAACGATTTCAATCTAAAACACTAAGAAAGATTTTACAAGCCTCTTGGTTTGTCACAAATAAAGTTATTCATCAAGATACAAAATTTCCCTATGTTAGAGAAGAAATAAAAAAACGAAGTGAAAAATATCAAAGAAAATTATAAATCCATCCAAATTTCCTGGCAGTTAACCTCCTCGATAATAGTGGAGCTAAAGCTCTTTTGAGCTGATAGGCTCAAAAGAGTTAATTCAATAGACCTTCCAAATCGTTTTTAGTTAAATTTTTTAAAATTTTTTGTATGTTAGTACACTTGATGGAGTGTATCTAACCCATGTTAAAATGGTCATGAAATTTACTTATTGTTCTAGTATAGAATAGATTGTAAATAAATACTTGTTAAAAAAAAATTAAATTTTGTAGGTTTGCTCTTGTTACCATGGATACCATCAATCAATATTTTAAAATCTCTCACCTCAAATTTTTGAAAGCCCACGGGGCAGAGCCCTAGGACAATAACGAAGAGGGAATAGTTGTATAATATATATCCTCGGAGCTGTAGCTTCATTTGCGTGCAATTTGAGCCCAGTCGGTTCAGTACTTTTTGAGATTATCTCATACAAACACACATACACACAGACACCACCTCTTCTTTATAATAGTATAGATAGATAGATAGATAGATTACTATTATAGTATTACTAGCTGTAACCCGCGGGCTTTGCCCCGTTTAACTTCTTAATTTTCAAGATTATCTCGTTCGCATGGCTCAATCACGTCCTGGTTGAAGTTTGTTCGCTACGCTCACTCACCTTTAGGTTGGAGCTCGTTCGCTGCGCTTACTTGCCTTCAGGTTAGCTCGTTCGCTACGCTAACTCGCCTCCAAGTTGAAGTTCGTTCGCTACGCTTACTCACCTTTTGGTTGCAAATTAGCTGTTGTCAGAAATGTAAAAGAAATAATAGTGCTGCACCCTGTTGGTAATCCTTGTAACTTTAATGCTATTGAACATCTTAGAACAGAACCAACTTGTTTAATTGAAACAGCTATTAAGATTCAATAATTCCATTTCTCATAAGGTTAACATGGGAAACTCCAGAGCCACTGGGGCGGAGCCCGAAAGGATTTTTGAAATAAGAATATGCCTATATGTTAATCGGGAATGTGAGCTATCATCATGTCAAATTTCAGCCCAATCCGACCAGTATTTTTCACGTTCACTTGTCACAAACATACATCCATACATACATCCAAACTTTCTCATTTATAATATTATAGTAGGATATATTGTCTATGCTATGGCTAAAATACGTTTTTATTACTGCATCAGCTGGACACTCTCTGAATATCTGCTTCAACCATTTGTTGTCAAACATTGATCTCGTAAAATAGTGAAATTATTTTTCGTATACACTAATAGAGCAAGGTTTGTACTAAAAGAAAACCTTCTTTTAGTTTAAAAAATACATGTTTCACAGGAAACAATTTTAACCATTGTAGTAACACCATTATAGCTTAAAAAGTTGATAAGTGATAGTTCACATAATATTTAGCACATTTGACGGATAAACCTTTTTTGAATTCGTCATATTATGAGTGTATGAAAATTCATATATCTGTGTATCAATATCTACTTATCTCATTTCTGTTCAATGGAAGTTATGCAATTTCAACGATACCGGTACTTAAATAGGAAGTCTTACAGCTGTTATAAAACTGTGCATACATTTTATCTTACGAGTAAATTCGCTACCAAATTGATATAGTACGACAATTAATTCTACCCTACTGCAGTACTTAGAAATCTACCACTACTCACATTAAACTTACCATATTTACTTTTGGGCTAGTGATTAATTTATTGTATTAATCATACAATATAGTGAATAGTGTAGTCATTTATTTATCTCTTTTCTATGACATAGCTCTATTTTGTAGAAATCAATTATGCAATCATAACAACAGAAATACTGCATCATTACATTTTACGGTGACATAGTATTTATTTTACATATAAAAAATTTAAGCTAATGCAATAATTAGTTCAATTAGAACCATTGAATATTAAATAATTTAAACATTAATCGAAGACGAAGCGGTTGACAACTTTCAAACAGTTGACTAGGCCTAGTTGCCTTCAATAATTGCAATGCGAACTGTATGCACTGAGGTCGGCAAAGAGTGTTCACAGTGTGCAGGCACTTTGGACGTCGTGGCACTTGGACGTCATGCAACAGTCAAATATTGATTGGACGTCGTGGCACTTGGACGTCGTGCAACTGGCAGAGGCTTTGGACGTGGTGCAAATGATACTTTTTTACAATCCTATAGTGCGCTGTTTCACGACGTCCAAGTGCCACGACGTCCAAAGCTTGTAGAAAGACTATATTTTTGGCAGTTACTGTACTTTTGGACGTCGTGGCACTTGGACGTCGTGCAACAACTCAAAAATTATGTTTTGGACGTCGTGGCACTGAAAAAATATTATTGGACGTCGTGGCACTTGGACGTCGTGCAACACTCCCGAAAAGTTGGGCTATTATTAAGTTAAAAGCTTTATTGGTTCTAAATACAAATTTATTTTGTAAAATGTATTTGTATCTTATATATTTGCAATCTAACAAAAGTTTTGACGTTAGATAGGCCTAGTACTTAACAAGACCAAGGTTTGGGCGATCCCTCATGAAAAGCGTAAGAAAATGTCAAAAAGTATTTATACTGAATCAATGACAAATTACATCTTGAGCAGAATCCCTACGGTACTGCTTGAAATGTCTCAAATCAAAGGTGAGCATAGCTACGTATAGACAGTTAAACTGTAACTTTCGTTATTTCTTTCTTAATCAGGAAGTACAGGACCAATGAGAAACTGTTGAGACACGTATGCAAGTCTGCGCCTGTGCTTGATTGTCAGGACGACGAGTTGGAAGACGATCCAGAACCTTCAGACCTACCACAGGTTTGTTGGTGTTGTAATTTTCAATTCCCTTCCGCATTCTTAGAGCATTGATTAACGTTTCTCAAAACTCGATTGAAGGAATGAAATATGTCTCCTTCCTCTATGAATCTTGGAGCCTGTTTTTTCCCCAAAGGGGGAAAAATATTGTTTGATGCCTTTAAAAATGCTATAGTAGGCAAGCCAAAAAAATTTTACCATCAATTTGTTACTATTCTACCTTTTAACAACTAATTTAGTAGATGCAGACCTTATCTCTTGGTACATTAGCCAACATTGTAGCCTTTTTGCACCCTTCAGAGTCTGTCAATATTCAGATATGCCACAAACTGTGCATCATGCTGGTGAAATCTGCAGGCAAGTGTCTGTCCAATACCATGGCTTTCTGTAACCTCAGTTAGTTATGTCATTGACTTTCTAACATGAGAATATTTTACCCAATCATGTGAGACAGAGACAAAAGATTGAGCTTGTTTTTCTTGAGATTTGGAGATCCCTACCCATCTCTGGTGTTCCTCATGATCCCATAAAATGACCACATGCATCACTACTATTTATTATAAGTTAGTTATTTTTGTTTTCAGATATCACATAGACCTGAGTCGAGCACGGATTTGTTCGTTTGCGCCGTTTGTTTTGCCAGTTTCTCTCAACAAGATCTGTTCGACCAACACACACACACAGACGAATCTCTGGTAAGAGTGAAGTGAGAAGAGAAAGTTGTGCCTAGTAAAATTGTGTAAAACATTTGTTTGTTAAATTTACAATTCTTCAGTGTTAGTTTTACATTTACTAGGCTCCTCAGGTTTCTTTTTGATGTTTGGTGAACAATGCAATCATTTAGGAAATCAAGGAATAATAACACTGCAGTTCTCTAACCAAGGATAGAAATTAATCAGTTGGATTTTCCACTGCAGTACATATATACAACTGAAGACTAAGATAGTTTTAGTTTACTGGTTTAGGTATTTTAACATTGATTGTTCTCTATTTGATTTGTCTAATTCATCTCCTCTGACATATCATGGATTATCAAAATTTTCAACCTACATTCAATTTAATATTTGCAAATAGTAAAAATTCAACAGATTTTTTCACTGACAGAAGAATATTTATTGTAAATTTCATTTTTTTATACTGAACATTAAAAACGTATCTATTAAGTGTTGTGAATTTTTTTGTGCACCAGGAACTGTTTTTATTAGGTATTATTTATCCATTCCTTATCGCTTATATTTCTAAGCTAACTTTTTTCAAAAACCATCTCAATTGTGAACTTTGATGTTTTTTAGGGAGTGGAGTTGCTGACGGACGTGTCAAGGCTACAGGCACAGCGCAAGTTCACGTGTGGCGTGTGTAGTGAGGTTTACCGCAGCTTGGCGCGCATCTCATACCATGTCGCTCATTGTAGTCAAGGCCCCTACCATTGCGAGCTGTGCCCATACATGGCACATACCAAGCAGCTGCTTAACCGGCACAAGAAGAAACAACACAAGTCAGTAGACTAACTGTAGTCTGGTTTTGTAAACGATAGACAATATTATTACTACAAACTTGGTCTTCTAGTAGAGTGTTAATTTTTTTATGTAGCCTGAATTACAAGTATAGAGTATTCACACTGTTTAGGATCAAAACAAGTTGATAAGTTGACAACCCTGTTTCTTTTACTTCATTACTGGTCAGCTGATGTGAATTGTTGCATTTTTGTCTACACAGTTTAGTGAAGTTTAAAATTTGTTGTAAATAAGATTCAACATGGTTTCCTTTAAAATGCAACATATTTTTAGATTGATTAAAGCATGTATATGGAAACTATAATCATTGTATTATCGGATTAATTTCATGTAGTTATACGTTTAATGTGTTCTTCTGCAATATACAATCTTTGAGCTTGTAAAAATACGATGTTGAGTCAATTGACAAGAAATTCCTTATAAAACTTAACCATGTTAATATCAATTCAACCACTTTGTAGTTTTATGCATCCTTTGTTGCCTGATGGCTCCATATAGGATCGGAAACTAGTTTGCTTGCCAATTTTAATGGGTTGCCTAATAGCAGGTATTCAAACAGCTTTAATATTATTCAGAAATTTGGTAGCTAACATCAACAATTAACATACTGATGTAACCTCTTCTCGATATTTTTCTCTGTTTTACCCCTATCATTTCCAGACCGATTTTCCCTCAGAGGGATCGCCGGAAGACATATTAAACTCACAGTCAAAAGTCAAATAAAATGAACTCTAATTTTTCTCTCCAGGGGTGTGGAGAGTTTCTTCTGCACAGAGTGCGGACTAGGCTTCAAGTTGCGCACTTCACTACAGAAACATCTGGTAAACAGACACGAGAGTGTACAAGATCACTTCCCCTGCGACGCAGACGGCTGCGGACTCGTGTTCAGTAAGAAGGTGCAACTGACCAATCATAGGATAGAAGTGCACGGCGCACAGCGCAAGTTCTTATGCCAGGTGAGAGACGAATGATAAGATTCATACTGTAGGGTACAAGTAAAACAGTTGATTATTTATTTACATGTTTAATGTTAAGGCATGGATATAAAAGAGATATCCAGAAAGTAAATTATTGTTTTGTCTGTAAAAGAAAGGAGCGAGTTGCGGTAGTGGCTATAAAATTGTCGAAATGGCTGAACAAATGTTCACGATAAAAAGTATAGTGGAAGATTGAGCATAGTGGCTGCGAACTTTGTTAAAATAGTCAGAGAAAACCATGAGTTAACAATAACAGAACTGTCTCGTAGGTTTTAAGGATTTTGTTGATAGCAGACTTGCCGGAGTGGAATAGAGTCCAATCGAACACAAAAAACACAAAATACTTATACTAGAACTATACACAAAAGTCAGATAATTTCACTGTCACTGACAGCATTTTCAACCAAAGAGGGTGTGAGTTGCATATTTGCTAGATTATTTTATTTATGACAAAACCAAAGGTTATCAGAGGTTATGGCAAATGATTTGATAATAAGGCATCTTAAGCCCTGGAACTAAAGTAATCGGGAACTACTATATGGATTGATGATGGTAAAGGTAATGTAACTCATTTATTTTGCATAGGGAATTCTACCGTATCTCAACCTATTGATGTTTTGGATATTCCTGATCAACAAATTCAGCAAACTGAAGTTTACATATTCACAGTCTTAGTCAACTTCGTGGTAGAGGTCTAAATGCGAGTGGAAACCCATACCCTATGTTTTATGCTAATATACATTAACATATATTTGAGTACCTAGTAAAATATTTTGACGGAAGCGAGCTGTTTTAGTGGTAGGGCGGACTTTGGTCATTGAGGTCCCAGGTTCAAATCCCACCAATCACCAATGGATTTATAAATGATAGTGCTGCAATCCTCTAGCCCTTGAAGCAATGTGTAAAGCAGTTCCAGTTCCGGACTAGAGCCTTTATGTGCTTTAATGTACTTTGTCAGACAATCGTTGATTAAAGTTGTAAGACTACTAGTGACTACTTCTAGAAAGGTGCGTTTTACTCATTATTCGTCATCACCCATCGGAGCTATAAAAGTTAATTTTAAATATAAAATATTTACTCAGTATATTGTTTAATGATTACAAATATACATTACAGGTTTGTGGTAACAAATTCATGACCCAAGACAGTCTTTCAAGCCACCTCGAGTGCCACTCAAACAAGAGAAGATTCGAGTGCCAATATTGCGCGAAACTTTTTAACACCAAGGAAAAACTCACACTCCACGTCCGCACTCATACAGGTATGTATTTCCTATATGTATTATTAGTGAACATAAAAGTAGTTGTAAACTTAAAAGTTAGTGTTTCTACGTTGAATCACTAGGTTGCAAGAATACAGCCTAGTTGTTGATGGTTGACTATTATAGTTTACATTGTTACGTTGATGACATTTTTGGTGACATGAACTATTTCAAATCCTTTATACCTGTACTTAATAATAGAAAATAAAAACTTCCTAAAGGGTTTTATATGCATTTAAAGAATTGAATGATGTGCTACTTTTCTAACTCCCCATCATTTTAGTTAAAAACTTCAGATAATGTAAACTTATAGCTATTCTAATTAGTGACACACCAAGGATTCTGGTTTGAGTCGAAACTCCTAAGTATTCAAGTATCATTGGAAAAAAAAATTACTATTTGAATTTACCATAGATTAAACAAACTCCCTTATTGGTTTCCATATCATCCTTAAGGATCAACTTAAGAAAATTTAAGGGTAGTTCTATTCAGTTAATTTAGAGAGTGCTTTGTTTCTTATCATTTAACTAACATTGAAACTATTTTAAGTTATTAGCACTCTATGTGTACTCTATATTGCTAATCATATAGTGTTAATAAAAGAGACAAGCATCAAATTGTTAAATCTAGGCTACCTGAAAATATGAGAAAAAACATTGACACCACTAGCACACTTAGTGGTCACCAAAATAAAACACTCATAAAAACATTCAGATTTTACGATGATAAATCTACTTAGACCAATTAAAGTCAATTTATTTATGCAAAATTAATTTCGCTTCTAGGTGAAAAGCCTTACGTCTGCGACAGAAGCGCTTGTAGCAAATCTTTCATTTCCAAGTCCAAACTTGTGGAGCACATACAGCGGCACAACGGGGAGAAAAGGCACAAATGCTCAGTTTGTGGCAAACAATACGCTAACAAGCCGGACCTACGAGCACACATGCGCAAGCTGCATGGGGAACACAAGCAGACGACGGACGTGTACACTCAACAGCTGGTACCTTCACTACAGCTGTTTCCTGTTAGTGTGCCACAGAATATGGTCATTACTAGTTTTGAGACAGTGGTTACGATATAGTCCTTGGTGAGTACAGTATGTTCCATGTGTTTTGTTGAGGTATTTGAGTGTACTATGCTAGTAAAGGTCCAAATCAGAAATTTAAAATCTCAAAACTGAAACCAAAACTTAACATTATTGGATATGGCACAACATTTTGAGAGCGGAAAGGAGAAAGGAAATGAATAGTTTTGTATCTAGATCACCATTAAAGATAAAAAAAGGAGGCTTTTGGCATATTTTCTTTTAAATAATGAGGAAAAAAAATATCTGCGGTTTCTGTTCTGGGTTTTTAATCTCAAAACTTGCTAATTGAATCTTGAAACAAAACCGATACTTTTTTCAAAATTGTGGTAGTTTTGAGATTTGGTTTTGACACATCGCTACCTTTCATGTTAATTTGGTAAGCTAATTTTGAGTTGTCTAAGCCATTGGCATTTTAACCAATAAAAATCTAGCTGCCTTTTAAAAATAAAATTATTTTAAGAACAGGTTTTAAGATTTCTGTTACTATGAAATGTTACTTTTTATAAGTAATTTATATAATTAGGCATACTTGCCAGAGCACCTGTGCTTATAAATTTTAAACTCAAGTTAATAAGGGAACATGTATGAAATATCTATCTATATATTAATAGGCAAGCATGTTTCTTTAAAACCTTTTTTCTCAGCTCGTGTGCATCGTAGGGAAAATCTACGCATACCGTTAGAAAGCTATTTTCCTGTAGGTGTGCAGAATCCCTTTATAAATTTAAATAGGCTCAAAGATAAGCGCAAAAAATGAGTTTAAAAATTTGAAAAAATTTACATGGATCTTATGCGTTGCCATGCTGGTGACGAAATAACAACGAAATATAAACAGAAAATCAAAACAAATGGAAGAAACTCCAATCACATGTTTTATTTACAGTGTGGGGTGAAACATAAGTGAGTGTAGGAACATATAGGTATAAGTGAGTACATTACATATTTTTGGTCGAGTTTCGACCACTGGACATTACTCGTCTTTATTTATAACGCTACAACATGTAACCTTCAATTACCTAACCTAGACAATAGACAATAGACAATTTTCTTTATTTGTGATTTCTTTAAGAAATACAATGGCGTCAGAAAGATTCAGAATGTTTAACATTTAGATTGTTTTAACAGTTTACATTTTCTTTTGTGTTGAAAGTTCATCACCTAATCATTCACCTAACCAATCCTTTAAGATAAATATTGTAAGGAGGAATATAATAGAATAATATAGATTCTCAATTATCAGACTTAAACTGGCCTCACAGCATATTTAAGCAGAAAGGTTCAATATCAAAAAATATTTTTGTTTAATTAGACCAATTGTAAACATGTTAAAAATCATTAAGTTAATTCGGGTTTCCTGTGTACAATCTATTCAAAGCAAAATATAATATAACACACACTACACAGAGAAGTAAAATACAAAGGAAACTTGCTTATGGGACGACCTTGCTTACAGCTCTGGTATGTTGTACTGGAAATATACTTGTGATGAGCAAGGAGGAGTATGAGCAGCGAGCATTGTGCAGAAATTCCTTTTACACAGGGCACAGGGTCTTCCTCCATCTTGAGCGTTGTTGTACGTGAGGGGGTATTGGACTGTGCCCTAGACACCAGCGACTAGTGCTAGACACCTCTTAAGTGTGCTATTGAATGTTTCTTTCTGTACTTTACTTCTCTGTAGATAAAACGATACTCAACTGCAATTCTGCGTTTTCCAAATGCTTGGGGTCGCAAAGGGATGCAGGTATGAGGGTTGACGGACTGTTAATGTGAAAAATAATTTGAAAGTACAGTCAAGTGCAAAAGTCTGAAGTCTAGCTTATATCTATGAGTAGGCCTACTGACAGGTGCGGCAAAAAAGTCTCAATGTATACACTATGGTGTATAGTCTTATCACAATGAAATATAACACAATTTAACAGTACTAGGTCGTTCTTAGGGAGGGTCATATAGCACAGAAGGTTGTATAATCGAGACTATGGACGTCATGGTCTATATTTTAAGACTGCTATAGTGCAACTTTGTGTGTACCTTATTAGTATTTCAAATTTTTCATGTTTTACAGTTTTCATACTCAATGTTATTAAATTTTTAAATATTTATGAATAAGTTGTGCAAAAAAGAATCTTATATAATAAAAAAATTTGGGTTTTCTTTTCCGAGTTCATTTGGCTCTTCTACTCGACCAATTTTCATGATTAATGTCTCAAATTGAAGGTATGCAAGCACAGATTTGCCATCAAGCATCGGCATATATTTATCTATAACCCCCCCTCGGCTTGTATGTAAATGAAATTTGCCCCCCATGTATTTCTTATGGGAGATAAATTTGGTTTCTTTTCCCCGAGTTCATTTGGCTCTTCTACCAGACCGATTTTCATGATTGACGTCTCAAATTGAAGGTATTCATGCTCAGACTTCCCATCAAGCATCGGCATATATTTGTCTATAATCCCACTTGGCTTTTACGTAAACGAAATTTGCTCCCCATGTATTTCTTATGGGAGTTAAATTTGGTTTCTTTTCCCCGAGTTCATTTGGCTCTTCTACTCGACCAATTTTCATGATTAAGGTCTCAAATTGAAGGTATGCACGCACAGATTTGCCATCAAGCATCGGCATATATTTATCTATAACCCCCCTGTAAATGAAATTTGCCCCCCCATACATTTCTTATGGGAGTTAAATTTGGTTTTTCTTTTCCGAGTTCGTTTGGCTCTTCTACCCGACCGATTTTCATGATTGAGGTCCAAAATTGAAGGTATGCACACAATCATTTCACATCAAGCATCGGCATATATTTACCTTCTGCATTACTCGACCTAAAAAGATAATTTGATTCATTTTCGAATTCTTAATTAAATTCAAAATGTATTTTACCAGTTATAATTATATAATCCTATGTTTTGTTCTAATTCAGTGAAAATTAGTTATTCAAATCGGACGATTTTCAAGCAAACGTAAGGTGAACAACCAACATAAAACTATGATTAAAAATCAATAGCTCCAGTATAAAGGCCTTTTCACACCGGCGTACTGGACGTACTGTACGTTTGGTACGGCCAGTTCGTACAGTACGCGGTCCTTTCACACCGCACAGAAACTTCCAAAACGTACACTTGTTCGTTTGCAGTCAGACAAGTAACACTGGCTGAGCACGTGGTTTTGGTGTGACCACTGCGCATGCGCGAGCTCGCGTACGCCTCGTACGATTTAGAAAAATCGCTCTCCGAGCGATTCTCACAAATCCATCGCGTACGTACTGTACGTACAGTACGTTCTGTACGCGCGGTGTGAACGAGCCCATATGATAACATGGACAGCGATTTGTTGAAAAAAAAACGTACCAAACGTACAGTACGTCCAGTACGCCGGTGTGAAAAGGCCTTAAGTTAATGGTTTTTTATATGTTTTAAACTCAAAATTATCAGTAAATTATAGATTCAAATAATTTGAGCTATTGATAGTTTTAATCAGTTAAGCTCAAGATACTGTATTACTCAATCAATAATCATAAATTTGATTATTTCTCGGATATTATATTTATATATTTATTTTAACGCTGCGGAGCAGCATGGGTCCTCTAGTTAAGTTTGAATGTGTAAATTTGAATTTGTATTTTTATAATAAAAACTTATGTACCATAATAATTCTAAGTGTATTGTTTCATCCTTTACATAATTCCTTAAAATTAATTACAATGCATTTAGCTAAAAACTGATACAAAAAGAAAGATCGTTACCAGGAAAACCTCATGTTGTAATTTAATTTCTTTCAGCCAAGTCACATTAGGCATTCAGTTCTTTGCAAACTGAATTTATCTTCTCTGTTGAATTCTGGTTTAATTGTACTTTTGGCTTCTTATATTACTTGAATTCAGTGTAAAATAATTATTACAATATAATGAACATAAGATGGTCTGCAATGCGATACATACTTGACAAATGCCTGTGGAGAGATATTCCTCTTGATTTTCCCTACGCTTATTGGAGGAGGTAGGCATGAAATAATAAATTACAAGTGTTTATGATTTTATCCCCTTGTACCCTTTGAAGAAGTAAAAAAATTGAGTGATTGTAACATTTAATGTGTAGCAATTGCCTCCTCTACAGACAAAAGCAGCAGGCGTTGTAGGCTGCAGTGAGACAAAAGTGACAACGTCTGTCTCAGCCTACTAAAACAGCTGTTGTACTAATTCATAATGGAGCGTCTGCGCAATATGTTTTGACATTTGTTTTTACTTTTATTGTCATGGCAATAGGTGAGCCAACGTAACATTGCCACTCGCCAACTAGAGGAGGCTATGGAATACCTCCAATAGCTAATCTAATCTTAGCAATCGATAATCATATGAATTTTCTCAGTTTAACTTAATAATTTGGAAACAATTGTTAAATTGTACACAAATAAACTTGTATGTATACGCTTCCATTGAGGTGTAGGTGTCTCTAATCTAACTAAAATGTTTTTTTAGTACTCCAACATTTTACTCCACTAACATTACGCTTTACAAAGCATATCTTCACCTTCACAACTTCCACACTACTGCAATCTGAAACTGGAAAAGTGGGAAATCAAACGACACATCTGTTTTTAAATTTTTTTGAAAATGAAATATAATTTGCTTTATAATAACGAACAAATATAATTAGTCGTCATAGTGTTAAACCACAATGCATGTTCGCATTGGATTAACTTTACTTAAAATCTACCTATTTGTATTAATATTAATCAAGTATGACTTGCCCCTCTGGCCAATAAAAACATTCTCACACTTACAGAACGAACAAACGGTTGAACGATACGATCGCTGTTGGTACTGGCAGTGGAGATTAGCATGGGCGTCGCTACCTCGTACGAAGTCCGTTCGTCCGCCAAGCTGTCCCGCACCAGACCCGTGAACCCGCAGTCACCCGCCAATATCGCCGTAGTCGAGGGATATAGAACTTATTGTTGTACGCTTTGAACGTGGTTCAAAAACTAGTTCATTGGAAAATTTTTGCCGATCTTTAGAATATTAAAAAACTATCGCCGATGACTATGCGGTCCACTGTTCTGGTACGTCTGAATACAAATTTAGAAAGAGAATAATATATTACATGAGCCCAGCGCGGGCCGAGTCGAGTAACAACTAAAACACTTGTCAACCACAACGAAAAAACACGGTTGAGCTTCACATTCGGTCCGACACACTGTAACAAAACTATTTTACATGTGGTTCAAAACTCATCATGAGCAAGAGAACTTAACAACAGGTAAATAGAGTACTTTAGGATAACATAATTAATTCAACAAAATGTATTACGCATTTTCTAATAATTTACAATAATTTCTACACATCTTTCACGGGAAAACATCTCAATTTTTAGTGGTGTTTTTTAGTGTACATTTTGATTTTTATAGAACTAAAATCATGAATGATTTATAAACTTTAAGTTTAGTTTTTATCATTTAATTGAACTATTTAAGTATTAAATAATTGCCAGGTAAAGCTTAAAAATAACAGTAAAAACATTATTTAATTGCAAATCATTGGAATATTGATTTGTGGACATTATTCTGGTACTCTATATTCATTTTAACTTGCATTAACACAAAATCTCTTCTATCTTTAATGCAATATAGTAAATACAAATTAATCATATATTTGTTAATTTACTGCACAGAAAACCAATATTTAGCTTTAGAATATAAAAAACTTCACACAGCTGAAATAAAACGATCAAGTTGAATTCCCAAGATGTTTTCCCTCAGTCTGCTGTACAGACAACATTAACAGATGGCCGTAGCTGGCCGTCCACACAAATAAACTTACGACTTCTATAAATATTTACAGAACATTTCAATAAAGGTGCCCAAGATCTGAGCGATTGTCAGATTATGAGACTTATTACACTGTTTTGAGCTTAACAATTTACAGGCCTTAATGTAAAATAACACCATCTGTAAACCAAGTGTAAACCTTTATTTGATAAAGTACTTTAGGTAAAACTTAACAAATCGAAACATGGCTCAATACCATCACAATCTGTTTATTGATGCTGTCGAATCAACGGAAACTCCATAGATCACTGAACGAAACGTCGTAAAAGCCCGCATTCATACATGCATTCACGCCATACAGAAATTATAACCGGGGTATTGTAATTCTTTCGGGGATCTCATAATAAACCCGTAATTTCCAAGAGCTAACTTTCACAATGAAATTCAGCGGAAGCTAAAGGCTGTTGGTTCTACTTTTATAAGATGTTTGAGGTAATCGGTAAAATGAATGTCGGGTCTTGAGTGAAGCGCCTGCGCTCACACTTGCAATAGTATGATGGACAGCTAAGAATGTTTGAAAATTTACCGTTTTTCGCATCGTTCTTCATGTTTCAATATTAATTTGGTCTATTGCATTTATTGGGTGATTTTGAATCGACTAGTATAGCAAAGGTTATCTCGAATACTCTGAAAGTAGCTAAATTAGTTACTGTTTCGGCTTGCCATTGCTCTATAATTCTATAGAGCTGGCAAATTAAAATTCAGTTGAATTTATAAATTTTATTTGCTTTTGTTCACAAATTGAACAAGTTGTTAATCATTGGACTCTTTAATTTTAAGAGTGTACTTATATCTTTTGTCTTTTTTACAATTTTGGAAAACATCTTGTTTGTTGCACAAATAGATTAAAACAAAGTAAAACTTATTAGTGTGCAATAGATTGAATACACTTATTTCTGTAAAAATAGTTTTGACACTTTTTCTAGTTTATTTATCAAAATATTGTTTGTGAAAGGAACTGAATATTAACAATTGCATGTCATAAAGTCTCAAAATCCTTCTTTTTTGCTGCCAAACCTCTTTCAAAGTGTTAATACGCTTTAATAAGTTTTACAATTGTCTATTATACTAGTTTACAAAATCTGCTCTAATTATGATAAAATCAACCTTTTACTGAATTATTTTACAGGCTGACTTACTGAATCTGTGATATATAATACATATGATTACGTTTTGCTTTCCCACACCTTAAGCTTGATTTTGAAACTTCTTATTTACACTTTAACAGAAACCCTATTCGATACATTTGTACTTATTAACTCTTCGTCAGATAACATTTTACCATTGCAGTCAATGTGGACAAACAGAACATTAACATATAAAACGTTTTAAAATCACTTTTGCTTAACACTGTACCAAATACTATACATATTTATATTTTAATAAAACTATTAATACATCGAAGTTGCATAGTCTTGGCACAAAAGTAATTTGGCACGAATAGCGTAAAGTAGGAAAATGATTGAGCTATAACATCCAGTCACTCACACGAAATTAAATGAAGCTGGTGACACTTCAACCTCTTCACTACACAAGACGATATCAACATTTATAAATTGAGTCCTTCCGTACGCTAACTAGGTTATTATTTTAGAGCACTATCAAACAAATTCACGTTAACACTCAATTTTTGTGCTTTAAGACTTGTTCTATGCTATTCCATGACTTGTTGGAAAGGTAATGGTGGAAATAATTTGAAATCGATCACAACCAAGTATCTGCCATGTAATCCAGTAAACAATGCTTATAAATAATTCAAATGGTTCGTCTGAGTGATGCTTTTAAAAAGTACTATTATCGCAGCTTTAAAATTATTTCAGTGATAGACTTTTAAGTAAACAATGATTTTACTATTTTAAATCACACATTTTGTTTTAGCACCACCTGAAAGTTTACAAACAGAACATTTTTATGTAATCATTATTTGAGTTACCTTATTTCACAAGAGATGTATGTAGGAATCAGTTTTATAACAATGTACAGTATAACTAATTTAGTTTTTTATCAATTCATATTTTTAAGTTTTATCAGCTTAGTTCGTCGATTCTTTAAATTACAATTCAACATTTGTTGCATAATTTGATAGGGAAAATTTCATAAGAATCCTTGGGGTCTTATACAACTCAAAACCTTATGACTACATACATGGCTACGTTTAGTTTGCTGAAGATAATTTTGTACATTGCGGTCTTATAGAACCAATACAAAATTTTAATACTGTAGCTTACACAGATTTCCATATAATTTGTGTATTGTTCGTAGTACAGTAATGGATGTAATTTTATGATGATGAAAATTTTACAAGAAAGTTTACACCAAAGAACAGGGTTACTTGGGATGATAAATGATACGAGTAAAAAAATATTACAAAAACTAAAAAATGCTCACAACTGCAATATACGGCAGTGTTAAATGTTTGAGCCTACTTACTTGTTTTAGAATGATTCGCCTTCAATGCTCGTAAGTTTGTGGGAAGGAGACCTCTTCTTATGATATGACTTTGGCATTTCAAGGTCAATAAAATACGGAATTGAGACAATGAGTCGGAAAAAATAATCTCAAATGGATATGAAAATCAGCTGACTTGCTAGAAGTATTTTGAGTTATGGGGGTGATTTACTAGGTTTGGATTTGATATGGGTTGACTTACTTTTGTGTGATTTACTGTATTTTATAGGGGCAATGCTATACAGAATAAGCGAAAACTGTTAAGAAAAAAATTTTTTAGGAAAATAAATCTTTCTCAACAGTTTGTAAAGTTAGCTAGCATTTTTAATTGGTTATTTGAAGAATACTGCTCTTGTTCCAACACAAATGTCAAACATAATTCAAAGTTAAAATAACTGAAATGTAGGTCTGGTTATTTTTAAATACAACAAAATCTGTAAACTTTGTTTGCCGAGAATCATGCAGATAACTTTTTTGTTAAGTTGTTGAGTTGAGGTTTAATTCCGAACTAAGAGGAAATATCACTTGTATTTGTATGTAGTTGTTTTATGGTAACTTTTTAGAAATGCAAACACATTTTTTGATATGTATGGATTATTTAGACTGTGACCTGTTTTACCTGATAACGTTAAAGATAAAACATATCACTCTTCAACCAACCCATCTACAGTATTATTGAAATAAAAAAAACTATATTTATTAAATTGGATTAAAACTTTTTGGTTTTACATTTTTGATCTTTCAGTTTCTCATTTCAGGTGGGTATTTTGTACTTAAATTGCGAAGCTGAACATTTTTGCACTATTCTCAATCAAACATTTAGTTTGCTCAAATTATAGTGCCAATTTAAATTGTTATGTGTAGTTAAAGGTAAGATAAACTATTTAAATTTTACATTTTTTCCTTAGTAGTGTCAATGATATTTAAAAAATGTTTCTCAGTAGTGTCTGATATTAAAATAACATTTCTTCTATCATACAAAATCTAATTGGATATTTATACAATATTTTAGTTCAAAATTTTTTTCTGTGATAGTAGAATCAATGTCTTAGTTAAAGTGGTGGATATTTTTATCAAATTACTTCTTATGATGTTTTAAGTACCTGTTGAAATAATTGTAAATTCTAACAGCAAATAAAAGTACAAAATTCTATAGAAAACACTAGTAATGGTTTGGCACACGCCTCACAGCCATAGGCCTTGACCAAGCTATTCAGAAGAACTCTCCACCCCAGTAGAGCACAACCTTAATACTGATTACCAACTAATTATCAACGTATAATAAAACAACTATTTATAGTATACTATTGCTCAAATGTATCTAAAGTTGTAATAAATGGAGGAGAGTTGTAAAAACACAGTCGACTCACTAAATGGAAAAAGGTGAATAATGGAAAGTCCCAGCGGTGGAGACGGTGGACACTGCACAACCAACGCCCATAGTAGTTCTGCCGTAAAAATATTGAGTTTACATAACCGCGTCACTCGGAGGTTCGAGTCGTACACGCACGATAACAACGAAACGTTTTTATACACGACGCACGTAATTAAAAAAACTAGTATACAGTGGAGTTTTTGGTTTAAAACACGTGATTGCCTTCGTTCATCTAGTTTAGGGAGTACGGTAACGGGGTGTGGAAGAAATACGCGGGCGTTTCACCACCGAGTAACACAATAAATTTTCAACAGGGGTTATGAGCACCCTTTAGACACTAAAAATCTATAAAAATCCTATGTTTTAATATATTAAACCACTGGAAATTTAACTTTGTTATTTAAACAAACTAAACTAAACACGCCGCCTAGTTACAGTCTGTCGTCCTCTTCCTCCTCCTCCTCGACATCCTCTCGTGTTTCCTCTGACTCCTCCTTGTACCCAGGGTGTTCGGAGATGGCGTAGTAGTTACCATTGTAGATGACGCCCAACTCTCGAAGAACGTCCCCTCGGATCGTCGCTTTGATCGTCCAGTTGTAGCAATCGTCGCTCTCACTCTCTCTGTCCAACCTCTCCACGTCGAGGATTTTGGAACTCAACCTTTCCAATATTATACCGATATCTTTAATCGTCAGGTGTCTCTTCTGATCTACCGACAGCTGGTCTATCAAAAGTAAAAACTTCTCGGTGGTGACAGCTTCGTCTTCTACGACAGTGTTTTCCGTTTCGGACTCGGAACTCTCGTGGTCGACGGGGGCATGTCGGTGACCGCCCTCGACATCTAAAAAACGAACATGACCTTTAGGCACTCCGGCAGCCCTGCGCGAGCCGTCTGACATAGACGACGGGTGCTGTTGGGGCGACGTTGACAGCGAGTCTTGAATCGGGGAGGTCGCCACCGACTTGTGCACCGCGATCTTGCGTCCCTCCTCATGCAGCGCGCAGCAATGGAAGTCGCACTCGCTGTTGTTGTTGTTAGGGGAGCCACTCCTAGAGACGGAGGGCTGGTGAGCGTGGTTGGCGCACTCCGGTGTGTGGACGTGGATCGTCGAGCTCTCGAACGACGACCCTTGCTTGGTGAGGCGCGGGTGGTGGTAGGAACTGGACGCGGAAATGTCGTCGTGGTTGATGACCGTGATCTGCGGACTGGCCGTGTAGCGAGGCGGATACACATCGTTGATCAGCGTCTCCTTCTTCCCGCTCGAGTCCACACTCGTCTGTATCACCAGACTAGATTGTTTCTTGGGTGTCGCTGTCCCGCTCGACGCTGCCGTTCCTGGCTCGCTCCTGCTACTGCCTTGCTGCCGCTGGTCCCAATGTAGGACGACCGTGACTCGACCTTTGTTGTCCATGATCTTCCAAGAGGGAGTTTCATTCTGCAGTTCAAGCGCATGTATTGTTTCACATACGATCTTCGGGATCGCTGAGATTGCTAAAACAGAAAAAAGGTGTGTCAGAAAAGTGCTTGAAAAGTAAGATAAGCTTAGAAAAGTAATACTGGTAAGTGTGATATTCTCAAGATTCTGTTGTACATGAGTGTGTTACAATCCTATTAAATCAAATCCAATAGGCTCTAGATAACAATTTTAGCACGAAGGGTCAATCAAATCTATTAAGTACACTACCCAGACTGTTTTAAGCCTCAATACACCAAGAGGAATCAAATTTCAATTATTAAGCTGATCGCAGTGAATATCCAGACTCACACAAAAAGATCTTTCACCTGTACACACCATTCATTAGAACAGATAAATAATTTCTTATTTAGAACATAGTGCATGTTATATAACCAAAAGTAAATAAAAATATGTCTAGTAAAAAAATAGTGAAAAAAATATTTAGAATCATACTGTTTTAATTAGACGGTATACATGAAAGATGGTAGGATGTGGTGATTGGTGTTGATTGGCGCTAATTAAAATCGATCATTACTTATTTGTGTAAAGATTGTGTCAATTATAATGGCATGAAGGGATGAGGGAAACTTTCCCAACAAAATGGAGAGTCACACCACTAGATGCTAGTAATTAAATTAATCCGACAGCAATTAATTGTTGAGTACAAAATAACAAAAGCGACGGTGGAGGGAGAAGGGTTCTTGTGTGCATGCGTATCCCTCTTGCAACTCTATTGACACAATTAGACGTACCTGTACGTATGACGTCCACACCAGTCGGATACCAGCGCTCGCCTTGCCGCAACAGCAGAATCACAGTGTTGTTGGGGAGAGTGCGGAAATACTCCCCATCCTCAACCTGTGTACCGTCCGACTCTAGCACTAGTCTCACTGGCTCATTGGGAGGAACGTTCAGCTTCTCTTTACCTGTCAAACATTCCATTGTTATAAGGAAGACTCATTATTTGGTTGGAATTGAAATTTTCTTAAAGTTAACCTTTGAACCAAAGATGATTAGTCACTTACGCTACCCCCAAAATTGGAGTTCCATAGATGCTCCTGTAGCTCTAATATGCTGTGGCGATTCAAAAGCGGCAACACCGTGGCCACGGCCTATGTGCCTGATCATTGGGCTTTAAATAAATGATCCGGACTGATGATGCAGCTAATCTTAGTCAGTAAGCTACACAGATCGCCTACATCATCCTACACTCATCCTTCACCCATTTGGGTTCAAATACGCACCTAGGTGGCATCCCCATCTCAGTAATTGATGATAGATATGAAAATAGCGGTAGAGAAGATTTCACATTCACTATCACAGCATCAAAATTCAAGGGAAATATCATTCTAGGCTGCAGCTCTCCATAGTTAATTCAACTATGAGCTTTTTTCTAATTTGGCTGGTCCACAATACAGGGTGATTGATATAAGTGTGCCAGCCGTTTTATTCGAAAACTATAAGAGATATCAAAAAAAGTTAAATGGTAAGTGCCTTGGATTTTTCATTTAAAAAATTATAGTCAAGTCGAAAAGATTATTTTAGCCGCCATTTTTCCAATATGGCCGCCAACCTTGATTTTTCTTACGGAACACCCTGTATTTTATTATGTATTCTGGTAGAAAAATTAATTTTAAGACGATTTTATTCTTGTGATTTTTTTCATAAACCTAACCGTTTCAAAGATAATAATGGTTTAAGTTGTGAAATTTTGAATTGTTTTCTAACAAAACAGCTGGCATGCTTGCTTAGGCCTTTATCGAAACTCTTTCTCATGCAGAAATTTCAAAACTTTAACCATTATTATCTTTGAAACGGTTAGGTTTATGAAAAAAATCACAAGAATAAAATCATCTTAAAATTACTTTTTCTACCAGTATACATAATAAAATACAGGGTGTTCCGTAAGAAAAATCAAAGTTGGCGGCCATATTGGAAAAATGGCGGCTAAAATAATTTTTTTGACTTGACTACAATTTTTTAAATAAAAAATCCAAGGCACTTACCATTTAACTTTTTTCGATATCTCTTATAGTTTTCGAATAAAACGGCTGGCACACTTATATCAATCACCCTGTATAGAAGTAATGCCTACTTCAATGTCCAAAAGTCAATGGTTTAGGCTTTAATTATTTTTATCCTCTTTGTCGCTTATGTGTTTCTTATTATTTTGTCAGCTGTTCTAGTACAACCTTCTTTATTTGTCAGCTGTTCTAGTACAACCTTCTTTATTTGTCAGCTGTTCTAGTACAACAATAACTTGAAGAAACATTGGAAACAGTTAATGTTTGTGATGGATTTATTTTCTGAATTAATTAAACATACATAAAAGATGATTTTTTAAATTGAGATGGAAATATTTTTTGGAAAATTTGAAATTATTATAACATTATAACACACTTTACTGCCTATACATTTTTTACTGTATGTTAAAATTTTGTTCACTAGGGATGTGTCCTCATTTGATACAAGTTCATTCTCTGGTGTATCTTATGTTAACTTTTAAAACTGTTGGTCCAGTATGAATTAATTTTATTTTGAGGTTATATCATTGCCATCCAGAAATATCAGCTGTTATCAATCTCGATTACATCAGGTGTTTGCTTTGCATTGAGAATCTGTTTGCATTTTTAAGTTGAGAATGTTGTGAATGAATGAGAGTTGAGTTGTCCAGGCTTAGCTACACCTCTCATAATGTATGTCCCAATTAGTAAATATAAAATAGAGATAATGAAGGAAAGTTACCTCGAAATTCAAGATCTTTAAGACTGTTGACTACCAAACTTTTCCTTATGTTTCTCCAACTGTCCCATATCTTGAAGGGCCTCTTTCCTCTAGGATCCTGAAATAAGAAAAATGTAAATTTAGCAAAATCATTAACCGTGGGCTTAGTTGCTATGAGTTGTATAGGCTATATTATGAATTTGAACAAATCGTTTTTTTTGGCCCCCGGGGACATAAAGTAAATCGGTCCCCAACAGTCCAGGTCTTACCATGAGACCTACAGTTTTTCCCTATATATGCAAAAACTCTTTAAACCAGCTAGAACAAGATTAAAGGTAAAAAGTAAAAAATATGGGTTTTAGCATCTACATTTTATAAATAAAACTGTTTTAAATGTGAAACTTGAAGATGATTAACACACAATGATAGGTACTGTAGGCCCACAGTTTTCTGTTGCACTGTTTGCTTGAATTCGTTAAATTATACATAATTTATTTGATATACAAACCAAGCAATGTATATGTTACCTTACTTCCAATATTTACAAAACGGGACCTGAATGGCATCCTGATGTACAGGAACATCAAAATAATATGAACCTAATATTAGAAAAATATAAACAACTAACCTATAACTTTGAGCAGGTAATTGTTTGGAGAAATTAATAGTTTAGTTTTTAGAATGTTCCCAAATGTGAGTACCTATTTTATACATAAACTGTTCGTCTTTAAGAACTATATACTGGATGGGTTTTTTATTTCCGAGCACTGGTAACCCTGGGTGTTTCAGTCCCCAATTCCGGCCAATTTCAGCACATAATAACACCACAACCTCAAAACCTGGGTCATTCTAGTAGGCTAAGATAAGTTAGCTTGACCTAATCCATTCTATCGACATGTTTTTAAAACAACCCAAATTACAAGTACCAAGACACATTGTTAAAGTAAAAGAAAAGTTGAGTTGGCAGTCCTGTATCTACTTCGCCGATCAGCTGATTTACTTCGCCGATTGTTGCTTCATTTACTACAGGTTCAGTGCCACAGGGAGTTTATTGTAAGACTTGACATGGTGTTTTCGCAAGCTCAAAGAGTATGCATATGACATATACATTGTATTGTAAGCCTACGTTTTAGGACGAGAATTTTTAACTTTGTCAAATATCTGGTGTCCGTCAGTTTTACCAATGTAGGATAAATAATTGCAATACATGTTTTTGCATCAGTTATATTTTAATATAGTGGTCAGGTACGATTTTTCGAACATCTACTCTTGCAAAGATTCAAAAACATAAGATGAAAGGTGTAATAATGTTTAATTGAGATTTTAACCTTATCTGTCAAACGAAAACATAAAAAATGTAATTAACAACACTTACGCACATTGTTTGCCAAAACAGTAGACAAATTTAAAAAAATAAATCGACTACTTAGTGTTATAAAAATATGTCCAAATTACACATTATAGGATGTTCAATAAATAATAAGTAACACATTTTAAATGCTGTTCATACCTGAAGAACGCAAATCGAAGAGGGAAAAAGAGACGCTTGCAAATGAACCAGCACCGCTAGCATACCGCTCTACACTGACACTGACTACTGAGCTTGTATCTGACGTGCTACCCTTCAAAAGGGCAAAATATCCCACGTACTGTCGTGAAAATCCCTCTTTATCCCACACCGTGCCTTTTGAAATCCCAATTCGTCCCAAACCTTCCAAAAAACCACCTTTATGTCATAACTATTTTTCTACTTTACACAAGCTGCTAAAACTGGATTTTTCAACATCATCTCAAATTTATCTCGCTGTCACCGAAAATCCCATTTTAGGCTAAAATTCCCACAATATCTGTGGTCCCACGCTGTGAACTTTGACCTCCCACCTACATCCCCTCCCCCTATTTTGCCCACTCTCTCCCCCACTCAAACACGGATATTCGAATACTTTTGATTTATAGAGGTCATATAAGTGTAGGTAGCCGTCAGACATTTTAATTGGCCGGACCAGTGGGCTTAACAGTGGGATTTTTGAATGGCCTTTAACTTGTCAATAAAGGTTAAGAGTATCGCTCGAACGGTTCAAATCGTGAATATATGAAGGTTTATGAAATTCTGCGGATGCGCTGGGTCTTTGGGTAAAGAGCTCCTCGTAAAGCTAAAGACGTTTTAAGCTGTTTTTTTTTTTTTTGCTGTCCTTGGTCATTAGGCTTTTAATCAAATTATTTAAATGATATTTATAGAGATTAGGTCATTCAAGTTTAAATCTACTCGTGTAAATTTAATTCCACGAACAAATTTATATCGCTGTTACAAAGATTCGAATATAATTTATTTCTATTTACTTGTATCCACGAATACTAGAACAGACACGAGACCATTAACCTATGATGTTACTGGCCCACAAGTAATCATTTATTGCTTTTTGGAACTGTCTAAACCATGTTTATGCTAACGATCACGAGCCACAACAAGGCCACGGTGTTGGTGTGTGGCAACGTCGCACCGGCCTACTGCCATGGTAATGGCAGTAAGGCAGTACAGTAATAATAAACGTGTAAACGTCGACATTGCGCATACTCCACTAATTAGAGCAACAGCTGTTTGTTCAGGCCGGGGCGGCGGTGTTGCCACTTTTGTCTCACCACGTCCTCCGTATTAAGCTGGCCATTCACGAGAGCTCCAAACGGAGCGGCGCCAAATGGAGCCGCTCCGTTTGGACTATCCGTTTTTTGGGGTGACATTCACGAGCACGCCATCGCTCCGCGCCAGATTGTTTGCAATATAATAATATATGTTAATATATTATATGCACTATATGTTATATAAAATGTTATATGTTAATATATAATATTGCTATATATTAACAATTCACTAGTTATATAAATTTTGTTTTTTTGTGTTTCCTCACTTTAAAGTAATACGTCAAAAACAAGAGAAATAAATTAATAATAATTTATATTTTATTATATCGTGGGACGTCTTCAGAATTATAGCCAAGTATGTAAATGAATAAACGAATAGTCACAAGTAAAACATCTTTATTTATTCAGAGAGAACGTATAATGTATAAAAATGGAACACAACATGAGACTGGGTTCACCAGCATATAAAAGTAGAAAAATCATCAATTGATTATTTGTAGATGCACAAATAGATGTACTGTAACGGATAACATTACGTAGGACTCCTAACAATGACGACTACAATTTATATAAATGTTATAGTACCTGGCCTACACAAAAACTAATATAAGTGAAATAATACTGTACTGAATAATATTAAAGAAATAGATAGTAAATGGTCATCTAAATCAAAAATGTAACAGAAATATAAATAGACAATTAATTCATAATACTACTTCAAAAGCAACCAATACTAAATTTTGAAGCCACATTTTAACAGCTGTTCTGTTTGTTAGGTATGTTCGTACCTGGGCTAGTGTTTGGTGCTAGTGTACCTTCTTCCATTTATACTTAGTTCGAGTGCAGTGCTCCCAAGCCCTATCTGGTATGAACACACATATTATCAGAACCGCTGTTGAAAACTGGTTTCAAAATTTAGTACTGGTTGGCTTATCTATTTGTGCATCTATAATCAATTATTGTAGACATAAAGACACAATTATTGATAGTCGTACTGCTCAATCGTATGAACTGCATTCAAATACGCTTCCATAACAGGGTTGGAAGGGTTCAAAGTAGAGGGTGTTGGTGCTGGTTGTTTGGAAACAGCTGGAGTAAAAACAGGAACTGGGTCATTCACGATTCTAGAGGTCACAGACAAGGTGTTTGTTTCAGCCAAAAAAATAGCATCATTTATCATTTTCTGGCAATAGCACGCCATTTCTTTTGCCTGGTTTCGTTTGTTCTTATCATGATAGTGGGGATCAGTCACCTTCCACAAACAGGTATGCTCCTTGTACAGCTCTATCACTTCCACGACAAACTCGCGATTTGAAGACATCGTCATATATAATACTATATAATCAATTAGCCTACAACGGGCCACCCGAGATAAGCCGACGACAAACAAAAAATGGCAATTCCTTGCATGCAATTCAACACTCCATCGCTCCAACCTCTCCGTGAATGGGAAAACCCGACGGGGTGTCAGATTGGCGCGGCGCGATGGCGTGTCGGGTTTCCCCATTCACGAAGAAATGGAGCGATGGAGTGTTGGCGCGGCGGGATGGATTTTGGTCGAGTTGGATTTCCAAACGCTCCGACCGCGCCAAAATATCTGGTTGGATTTCCCCATTCACGATGCGATTTTTGCATCGCTCCACGCCAAATGGACGAATGGAGCTCTCGTGAATGGCCAGCTTTAGAGAAGGCCATGGACACGTCCTTGTCTTTTATAATAATTCATTGTTCATTTATTTATTTTGGTAACAACCGTTTACAATAATGTCTTAAATTGGGGACCGAGCTTTGCTCGGGGGAAATCATTAGTTTACTCTGAGGGCAGTCTTAGTATTGCAGATACATTAATCCATTCCCATACACTCCACACTGCTCGCCTTTACTACTTCCTTCACCACTTCCTACGTCGTGGGCCTGTTTCTTTCCCTTCTCATAGCATTTTATGATTGCAGAGATACATTAATCTAACTGACACAGACGGTTCACACACTCTGCAATGCCAGCCTTTACTACTTCCTTCACCACTTCCTACGTCGTGGACCTGTTTTTTCCCTTCTCATAGCATTTTATGATTGCAGAGATACATTAATCTAACTGACACAGACGGTTCACACACTCTGCAATGCCAGCCTTTACTACTTCCTTCACCACTTCCTACGTCGTGGACCTGTTTTTTCCCTTCTCATAGCATTTTATGATTGCAGAGATACATTAATCTAACTGACACAGACGGTTCACACACTCTGCAATGCCAGCCTTTACTACTTCCTTCACCACTTCCTACGTCGTGGACCTGTTTTCCTCTCTTTCCATAGCATTTTAGGATTGCAGATACATTAATCTAATTTCCACAAACAGTTCCCACACTCCGCACTGCTAGCCTTTACTACTTCCTTCATCATTTCCTACGCCGTGGACCTGTTTCCTTCCCCCAGAGACTGCTCTCAGAGTAAACTAACGATTTTCCCCGAGCATTTA